GAAAGCTGAATCAGCCAACAACTTTGAATGTAAAGACTGACAATCAGACCAGTACTACCAAGACAGGGACCTCAACCTCTCTGTCCTCTTATGGCACTCAGAAGACTGGAACAGGAATGACATACACTGGGAGTGGAAAACCAATGGACATTGACTGCCTCAAGAAGGAGGGGAAATGCTTTAACTGCAGTCAAAAGGGCCACATGTCATGGGATTGCCTGAAGAAGAAGTGCATAAGAGAAGACATTCAAGTGCAAATTGCCAAACTACAGAAGGAAGCCAAGGAACTTAGTGCAGAGACAAAGATTGAAGAGGTAAAAGACAGGGCTGATCAGTAAATAGTTCTACTGGGTCAGCCAACAAACAGAACAGTGTGTCAAAACTAGCCATGGGATGGACTAATAGCACCTCTGTAGATACAAATATGTCTAAATTATCCACACATTCAAATATACTCCTTCTCTTGTCCAATACACATACACTAGAGAGACTACTGGAAACAGCTCAATCATCTACAGGCTAAACAGAGAGAGTGACCTCCACTAAATGGCTCAAACCATTTGATACTGAATGGACTTGGAGGGCCATTAGAGATGCAAGGACAGAAGAAGAGGCTAAAGCAGTGCTCAAGAATTGAGTATACAAGACTCAGGCTGAAGAAGTAATCAATGAGATGATAGAAGGAATGAAGAAGGCAGAACAATGTTGAGCACTGGAATGGCTTGACAAACTAAGAGAGCTGAGGAGATATATCAGGAGAACCAAAACTCTGGGATGAGATCTAACCACTAAAGCCCAAATCAAGACCTTCATCAATTGGTCTATCCATGCCATGACAGTGCTAATTGATAGTGGTTGTATCAGTAGCTCCATAAATCATGCTTTCATCAACAAGCATAAACTCCTGATCTAGGCAATAGCTGCTCTCATACTGGTTTACAATGTGGACAGCATCAAAAACCAAGCTGGCTCAATAACAGAGTTTGTTGAGTTGCATCTCACTATTGGCAATCACCCCAAATAGATTGACTTAGCCATCACTGATCTAAGAACCAAAGAAGTCTTTCTTGGTCATGACTGATTGATCTGGCACAATGCACTAGTTAACTAGAAAACCAGACAGATCATCTTTATGCAATGCAAATGCTGGAAAATCCCTTTTGAGTTATCTGATGAGGATCCCAAGGATAGGTGGAATGAGAAGATAGAGGATGGTGAAACAATACTCACTATTGACATTTGACAAGTGCTGCATATTCAAGCAGTACATCATGCCAATGACTTAGCTGCTAAGGCTAACACTGAAAAGAAGGAGAAGATGTTCAAGGAAATAGTTTCTAAATGAGCTCAAGATTATCAAGACTTATTCAACAAAGAAAGTTTTGATGAGCTACTCAAGCCAAAGCCATGAGACCATGCAACCAAGCTCATTTTAAATGCCAATACAAATTTTGACTGCAAAACATACCCCCTCAGCAACCACAAACAACAGAAACTTGACAAGTTCCTAAATGAGAATCTTTCCAGTGGCTGCATTAGACTCTCAAAGTCTCCTATGGCTTCACCATTCTTTTTTATCAAAAAGAAGGATGATAAACTCCAGCTCATCTAAGACTATCAGAAGCTGAATAAGATGATAATTAAGAATCATTATCCACTTCTTTTAATCTCAGAACTAATGGACAAGCTATGAAGAGCCAAATACTATACCAAATTAGATGTTTGATGGGGATATAACAATATACAGATCAAGGAGGGTGACAAGTGAAAAGCCATGTTCTGTACCAATTAAAGGCTCTTTGAGCCTATGGTGATGTTCTTCAGCCTAACCAACTTGCTGGCCACCTTCCAGTGAATGATGAATAACATCTTCAAAGACCTCATCTCCACCAAAAAGGTTACAATTTACCTGTACAATATTTTAATCATATTCAAAACTCAGGCAGAACACTGAAAATTCATCCAACAGATACTTGAACTTGTGCAAAAACACAAGCTTCTCCTCAAGATAGAAAAGCATGAGTTTGAAGTGCTGGAAATGGAGTATCTAGAAGTGATAGTCAGCAAAGAAAGCATCTGAATGGATCTGGTCAAAGTAGCCAAGGTGATAGAATGGCCAGTCTCTAGCAAAAAAAAGAAGTTAATTATTTTTGAGCTTCACTAACTTCTACTGATGGTTCATCCAGGATTACAGCAAAATCATATGTCCGATGACTCAGCTGACTGGAATTGGGGAATTTCCCAACAGTCTGCCTTCAATGACCTTAAACAGCAACTGGCAGAGGACATAATCCTTGCTATCCCAACACAAGAAGAAAAATTCTGAGTGGAGGCTGACTTGAGTGAGGAAGCAACTGGAGCAGTATTATCTCAGGAGCAAGACAGGAAATAGTGACCAGTGGCCTTCCTCTCTAAAGCATTAACAATAACCAAGCAGAACTACAAGATTTATGATAAAGAGTTACTCACAATAATGCTTGCTCTTGAGAAATAGCATCATTATCTGATTGGAGCAGTTCAGACTTTCAAAGTGTGGATAGATCATTAAAATCTTCAATACTTCCATGCTCTCCAGAAGCTTAATTGGTGGCAAGCACATTGGATTACTGAACTGTCCCAATATGAATACATGCTCTATTATAAAGTGAGGACATCTAACAAGAAGGCCAACCTTCTTAGCCAATGAGCAGACCATGATCAAGGGGGTAATGATAATAAGAGGGTCATATTACTAAAGTGCAAACACTTCTGGGCAATAATAATGCTGACAGAGGAAGAGATCTATGAGAGGATCAAGAGTGTGATATGAGACAATTATAAATGGGACCAGTGTGCGGCCCTATCCCTGAATCACAAACAAGATATAACAAAGAAAGGAGGAATGATCTGTTATGATAGATGGATTTATATTCCAAGGGACAAGCAACTTTGCAGCAAAATCATTGCTACATGTCATAATCATGTCACAGCAGGCCATCTTAGAATTGCCAAAACCAAAGAATTGGTCCTATGAGAATACTGGTGGCCAAAAATAGACCAAGCTATTAAGTGATATGTCAAAGGATGTAAAATCTGCCAACAGAGAAAGTCATCAACACAACCACAGGCAGTGCTGCTCTATCTGAATGAGATTCTGCATGCACCATAGACACACATCTCAGTGAATATGATTATGGGTTTACCTGAATACAATAGCTATAATGCAATCATCATTGTTGTTAATCACTTCTTCAAAGCAATTATTCTGATCACATGTTTGACAGAGTTAACATCAGAAGAATGAGCCAAAATTCTTCTCAATGAAGTCTATGTAAAGTATAGAATTCCTCAAGTAGTTATCTCAGACCAAGAACCCTAATTTGTCTCAAAATTTCTAGACAATCTTTATCAACTCCTGAACATTTAGTGAAACACCTCTATGACTTACCATCCTCAGATAGACAGACAAATAGAAAGAGCCAATCAGAAGATTGAAAAGTACTTACACTTATTCATTAATTATCGATAAGATGACTAGATGAAATAATTGGCTCTCACTGCTTTCCAACATAATAACCACATCCACTTGATCATCAGCAAAACCTCTTTCTTCATCAACTATAGTCAACACCTCAGTGTCTCTCAGTCTACACACTTTTATACTACAACCTCTGCATCCTCTGACTTTGCAACTACTATAACCAAGATCCATGACAAGGCTCACACCACTCTTGAAAAAGTGGCAGCATTCATGAAAAGACAATACAACAAACACCATACCTCTGCTCATACCTATAATGTTAACAACAAGATTTGATTGAATACAATGAACCTCTATCTCTCTTATCCAAAACAGAAATTAGCTGATAAGCATACAGGCCTCTTTTCCATCATCACTAAAGTCAGCAACTCCATCTATAAGCTCTGCCTTTCAGTCAATTGGAAGATTCATAACATATTCAATGAATCTCTTCTGACACCCTTCATTGCATCCATATTTCCCAACCAAGAACAACTGCCTCCTCTGCCTCCTGACCTGATTGATAATGAAGAACATTATGAAATCAATCAAGTTCTTAATCACTGACTCCACAAAATTCATGCCCAAGGAGGAGGCATGACTACAACAGTCAATTATTTAGTTAGTCAAAAGGGCTACAGTCCAGAATCAAACCAGTGGGTCAATAAAAAGTGGATGAATGCAGACAATGTCATAAAGGACTATGAATTATCTCTTAATTAAGCTATTGGGATGATGATCTTAAGAAGGGGGTAATATTGCAATTTTTCACCTTCTTATTCATTTTAACCCCTATTTATGCTTAGTTAGAGCACCTATACCAGTGCTTAGGACTGTGGGACTGGCTTAGTCATCACAACTAGCTGAATCTGTCATTGTTCTCTGATGCAATGACAACTCTTGACAATGCACAATAACTCTTTTGTAGGTAGCAATGATGACCAAAGACAATGAGCACAAAGGCTTATACAGACACAATAGGTAGTATTATATTTATCTCAATAGACAAGTAGCATATAAGTAAACTAGCTCTTGCTAGTATAACCCCAGCTTTGAGCTAAAGTTTATTCATACTATTTCACTCTTGAGCCTCTTGTCAATGGCCTTGAAGCACAATAGTCAACAAAGCACATCAGTGGACTCACTGTACAAATATAATACAGCATCTGTTTATCATATGTTTTGATCACATGCAACTTAGATCTAACATGAAGCACCAGTCCTCAAGTGCACATCTGACTATTAAGCAGATGCACAAGCTCTTGCAGCTCTAAGCAATGACACAGTATCTGAGATCATTGACACTAGCACAAGCAACCACTTTACTGGCTATTGTGAATGATTTAGCAACTTTACAGCCATTAAGCCTATCCTTATCAAGATAGCAGACAGCCAAATATTCAGTGCAACAGATAAAGGAGATTATCCTATCCAGTTACCAATAGAACCAGACCAAAAGCCAACACCCATCACTCTCTATAATATCTACTACTCATTTAGCATGGCATTCATGCTCATATCAGTCAGCTGTCTAGATTGTAGTGGATACTTGCTCACCATCAAGAATAGTCATTGCACAATACAAAGCCCACAGCCCAAACATAAAACAATTGGCATAATACTAGTGACTAAAGGCCTATACCATATAACTGCCCCTATAGCACCCAAATCCATATCCAACACCTCCATCACTGCACTCTCTGAATGTCTTGTAACTATGAAAAGGTTTTACAATCTCATGGGCCATCTAAGTGAAGCTATTCTCATCACAATGGTAAAATCTGAGTTAGTACATGGTATCCAGGTTGACATAGGAACCAAGGTTGGATTCTGTCAAGCATACGTTCAAGCCAAAGCCACCCAAAAGCTATTTCTAAAGATCAGTCTGAAAAACAAGACAGCAAAAGCATACAGTGATAAAGTCATGATAGACATCTGGGAACTTGCTGACACTGAGTCAATTAGTGGTCACAAGTATAGTAACACTTACCAGAACATCTCATCATGAGAAGAAAAGGTCTATTTCATGAAGAAGTCTGAATTGTACTTATGCTATCAGAAGTATGAGCCTTGGGCAAAGATGCAATATAATGTAAAGAACATATAGATATTTGGCTTAGACTGAGAGAGAGAATTCATGAGCAAGGAATTCAAACATCATCTTGACCTTGCTGGAACAGTTCATTATCTGACAGTCTATGACTCATCTCAATCCAATGGAATGGCAGAGCATGGCAACTGCTCACATCTTGAAGGTGCTTGAGCAATGTTGATCTAAACAGAGCTGCCACCATATCTATGGGCAGAGGCCATCTCACACAAAGTATGACTAAAGAACAGAACAGCCCACAGCACATTAGAGGGAAATATCACTCCATATGAGAAGGCAACTCACTAGAAGCCTGATCTCTCCCAGCTCCATGAATTTGAATGCATCATATGAGTTAAAAAGCTTAGGTGAGATAAGCTCCAACCTCAAGCATATGCTGGATGCTTTGTTGGACTCAATGAAGAATCCAAGGGTATTTGACTATACTGGCCTGGACAGAGAAGAGCTAGCATTGAAAGGGATGTCTACTTTGACAATAATAATAAGCCCAAAGACATCAAGATTAAGAGGGAGACAGTCACCAATCTCAATCCAGATGCTCCTGACTCAAGCTCCAAGCCCCACAAGCAAGCAAGCAAACTCACAGAACCCAAAACTCCACTAGCTACATCTCATGAATGCTCACCATCACCACTTACACCACTTTCAGACACTCTCAGCCCTGCTCCACATGAATGACACATCTAAACCACAGATAATGCTGAAAATCAAAAGAATCCTGAATCTCTCAGAAGAGACTATTATGCTAGAAGAAAGCCAGAAGGCTTTTATAATGATAACAGGCTATCAAAGCAATCTGTGACTAAGCACATTCTTACTATTGAAGATGAAAGAAGCACTGAGTCTGAAGCAGAGCTCAAAGCCAAGGAGAAAGAGCAATTCACTGGCATACAAATGTTCACATTTGCAACAAGCCATAGAGAGCCTGAAAGCCTACAGGAAGCACTGAAAGGAGACAAGGCAAGAGAATGGAAGCAAGCTGTAGGAGACAAGCTGAATAAAGTTGAAGCTCTGAGAACTTATGAAATAATTCTCAGGCCACTAAGTGCAAATGTGGCTAAATGCCAATACACTTTTAGAGCTAAAAGAGATGAAATGAACAGAATCATACACTATAAAGCATGCCTCATACTCAAAGGCTTCTCTCAGATATACAGCATCAACTTCCATAAAACTTTCACTCCAGCTGTCTGACTCACAACCCTCTGCATCCTACTATCTGTCACATCAAGCAAGGGCTCAGTGATCTAACAGGCTGATGTCAAAAATGCCTACCTGCAAGCAGAGCTCAAGAAAATCATCTATATGAAACTCTCTCCTATGTATAACATGTTTTAAACCATTCTCAAGCACTTGAAGGATAAGCAGCTAATATGCAAGCTCCTCAAACCACTCTATAGCAGCAGTCAGAATGCAAATGAGTGGTACAAGTTAAAAGGTGTCTTTGCACAGCTAAGGTACCAAGTATGCTAGTTAGATAAAGCTGTGTTCTGCAGATTTGTTAGCAACAAGTACACTATTGTCACTGCTGCTACTGATGACCTCACTATTATAGCAGACTCAGATAACTCTGCAACCCTCATCAAGAAGTAGTTAAGCAAGCACTTCAAAATGACCAATCTTGGCACTCTTTGCTGGCTACTCAGTATCAGCATAAAGTGTAATCTGACAGCATGGACCATCATGCTAGACCAGCAGAGATATATTGATGTGATAGTCAAGGATATGAGTCTAGAAGATGCCAGAACAGTCACAACACTACTTGAGTCTGGAGTCAATCTCAGCTATAACTCATCTTCCATCTCAAAAACTGTCCTATTCTCATTTAAGCAGAGCCAATACCAAATAGCCATAGGTAAGCTAATGTATGCAATGCTCAGAACATGTCCTGACATTGCATTCACAGTCACCACTCTCTCCTGCTACATGGATGAGCCAAATGATCCACTGGCATGCTACCATTTGTGTCTTCAAGTATCTAAAGGGGACAATCCATCTTACACTTGTATTTGGTGGCAAAAACATGTCTCTGACTGGATACACAGATGCCAATTGAAGCTTGCAGACACACAGGTATTCAATTTCTGGCTATGCCTTCTTTGTCAGAATTGAGGCCATCTCATGAAGTTTTAAGAAGCAACCAATTATCATAGCATTTACAACAGAATCAGAGTATGTTGCAATGACTCACTCATCAAAAGAGCTGCTCTAGATATGAAAGATATTCACAGAGCTTATCTGCTAGCTTATCAGCCCTACAACTCTCTTCTCAGACAACCAGAGTGCTATATGACTCACCAAAGACTCTATGTTCCATGCCAGAACTAAGCATATTGATATACAGTTCTATTTTATATGCCAGACAGTCAGCTTTAGACAAGCTGACCTCAAATACTGTCTCACCAATGACATGATTGCTGACATCTTCATCAAGTCACTGGCCTGAGTCAAGCTGGAGAGATTTTGCACACTGTTAGGCCTTGCATAGGTCAAGTCATCAAGCTTGAGAGAAAGTGTTGAGAGTATGAGCTATGACTGCAGATACAGTCATATGGACTCCAAATTAGTTACCAGTTCTAGAAATTTTTACTGTTAGCATAGCCACACATCGTAGCAACTTACCACCTGCTAAAATATGAGTATATTACATCTATTTATACTGTACCTTACTGATCCATAGTAGATACATCTATTTTCTTGCTTTAGGCTAATCCTCATTGTCCTCATGTCACTGCACAGTCTTGCTGCTGTGTCCTCCCAGATTCTCAGGTCCACTGCTCAACACCTTCTATCTTTCTCTTTCTAAATAATGTTTTTAGCCTATGCTATTCTGAAAAACAGTAGTATAATCAGATTTGCTAGTCTTATTGTGACCTTCACAATAAATAATCTGAATTCACATCTGTGAAGCACTTCTTAAGATGATCTGTAGTACTATGTCATGATGATTCCTAGGATGGCCTCTGATCAGCACCAATTCAATCATTTTCCATGGATCCCAGCAACACATAAGTGTCTATGGTAAGGCTGTACACCACTCATACCTTTCTTTTATGTGATTGCAACCCTCATAATCAGGCAAGGTAGTGAGAAGATCTATAAATCAAATTCATGTCTCCAACCAAATGAAAGAAATGTGACAACTCCAGATCTATCTCAGGCTCCTGCAAACTGAGAACATATCTGTGGTGGGTGGTTATAATATTTGTCTTGGGCAGTATAGTATGAGCCAAGACTATATGTATGATTGTCTATAATGGGAGAAGTTCATATAGAGAGCAGATCAAATTCAATATTGTCATTCACTTTGGACACAAGATCCTGAGTGAGAAGATCCCAGAGATCATCATAGCAGCAGAAAATGCTCTTCCACACTAATGAGCTCCATACAATTGAAATTGCCTATCTATCACCTAACTTGCAATCATAGATCAACTCTTATCAATTGCTAACTATAATAACTTGATAATCAGGTGACTCTATTCCTTCTTCTCCTTGGGGCAATGGATAATACAAGGCTACTATCACTGGAGTGTTCTAGATGTCATTCTTTAAAATATGTTATCAAAAAGTGTTTCACAAAACCATGAAATGCCAAAAAACAGAATTTAATGTCTGCAGCAATAATAAAGCTATTTGAATTATGCCCTGTAAATGATCTTAAATCAAGAAAGCTTTAAAAGTGACAGCAGGATGCTGTGCCAGAGCACTCAGTAACATATCTGTATCTGTATGAAGAACATCAGCTTCAAGTTTTCTGAGTCTCAATTGAAATTATAGCAAAACAAGCTGCCAATTGGTCTGCCATTTGAGAATAATCAAACCCCTTTTAAGAAGTATCATTATATTCAAGCTGTCTTCTACTCTCATGCCAATGCACATTGCAGACCAGAGAAAAGCTGTGTTTTTGAAGTAAGATCTCTGATTTATGATAAATACACACATTCAATTGCTATAGGCTCTAACTGTACATCTAAAGAAAACTATCTGAACACCACTGTCATATCTCAGATTGTCCAAATGCACTTTTTGCACATTCATTTTCTTATGGATCTAATCAAGGAAACAGAACTTCCTCCTGGGAATTTCTTTAATGAAAGTAACTCATACTATTTTTTCTCTTATTTTGGTAATTATCACATGTTTATTCAAAGCCTGATTCAATAGAATCTTCTACCCTATTATAGCCTGCAGTCTTGTTGCCTTTTATGAATATGATAAAGAGTGTCAGCTACTTGTAGATGACATCAGTGCCTTTTGCCTCAAGTGGTCTAAAATATAGTTTTATTATAGTCATTATCTGAGGACTCATCTGTGAGCTATAGTTCTGATTTACTGTGCTGTGAGTCTCATCAATCACCCCAATTAAAATTTACTTAGTTCATCTTTGTCTGTCAGTTCAAAAGCATGATAGAAACATTGAAGACTGCTGTGGAGCTCTAAAAGTCTGCATCCAATTTGCAGATGCAAGAACAGAATATTATTAAATAAATAGCATTCTGTGACATTCTCTTCACCAGTTCTTTGACAGGCTTCAGGAGGCCTTTGTCAAACTCTTGATTATCTCACAGCTCTTAAATAACAATTGTTTCAGATGGTGGATTAATAAAGAGATGCAACACAAGGTTGAAACAGCTCAGAAGATAGAGAACACCAGAGATTCTTGTGACTTTATAAACTAAGGTAACAATTGACTCCTGCTTTATAGATATATAAGACCATTTAGAGAGTTCATAGTAAGTACTTATAGTAAGCCATATTGGAAGAAAAGTGTGAAACACCTGCTTATTGAGATAGCAATCTCAAGTGAGTATGAGAATGTACTTGAAGATATTATATCAATCAGCAGCAGCTGATTTGGACTATGATCAGAACTTATATAGTAATTCATAGAAAATTCTTGAAGTAGTACAAGATGTATATAAAGTGCAATGTCTCTCTCTCTCTTGAGGCTAATTAATCCTCTGTATGCTACTCTCCTCTGTACTTGCAACACTGCTGAGTCCATCAGTGAAGGGCTGTGAAGGCTATATATCTTATTTATGGTAGCCAAGAAATTTGGCAGAGAGAAGACATCTAAAGGATCTAGGATCTTTAAGATGGAGGGTCAGAGTTAGTGATGGTATCTGTATAAAGAAACTGGACATATAACAACAAGATACAACAGCAAGCCAGACAGGCCAGCTTGATTAATCAATCTTTACAGCAAAACATTGCATTAATGACTGATTTCACTCATGTTATCACAGTACAGAATGGGAGACACAGAAACAAAACTTTATAGAGATATCAACATAGACTGGTGTGGGCAATTAATTCAAGAGCTGAGTTAAGGCCACAATTTCTGCTTCTTCAAAGAATTATTATCATAATCAATATTTGGGTGACATAAAATCTTAAGATACACTAGATGCAAGGATACAAACAACTGTACTATGAAGCTTGAACCTCACTGCAATCTAAGCATTATTCCATTATTCTATCTACTTATTCAAGACTTTCTTACTCTGTGTCCTCTATAGAAAGCCATATTAGAAACATTAGGTCTGACCAAAAGCAGCCAGAACAATGTGTTTAGAGATCTAGAATGTCATATTCTTTCATAGAGGCTATGCACAGAAGCTACTTACTCATTCAGAAGTGGATTGAAACTCCTGAGAATTTAATGCCTAGTGGAGGAAGCCAGAGGTCACTGGATTGTAATTGACATAAGAAAGCATTAGATCTAGCTGCTGAAAGTCAAGCTTGAGAATGAGTAGGCCAGAGAGTAGGTATAAATGGCCAAACTTAAGTCAAGACTGACTGTCCTCAATCAGGTACAAATGGAATGTGCAAGCTAGAGCATAGAGAATACATCTTTAGACAAAACAGATGAGGATAGATAGAACTTTTGAAATCACTGATTTCTTTATCATCACAAGAGAATCAGTCTTTTATCTGTCACATCTGGAAAATAGGATGTAGTACACAAGTTAGATTAAAGAATATGTGGTAGACAGAAAAGAACATGCATCAACTTGAACCAGATTTTCTTTGGTACTGCCTACTATCTTCTAGAATCTTGTTGGTCCTATTTAATATTTTCTAGTGATGATTGCTAGGCAATAGAAAAGACTGAAAATGCTTGAGAGAGAATAACTGGATCTTGAGAGACTTTGAATGATCACAGAGTATGGTGAAGAGTAAGAATGGTACTTTGAAATGGTGCTCACCAGTATATAGACCAACTAGTTGCTTGTGGTCTGGCACATGTGATTGATTCTTGAAGCTTGACTAGTGACTTTTTGTCCAATTGTTGGTATCCAGCCTTACTCTGGATCCTTCATCATTGGCTTGAGAAATTGTCTCTCTGAGTTTCATAGAGATAGCATGTGATTCTTTTCCAGCTGCTCATCTCTCTGAATATATGACATGATAGTCAATCACTGACAAAGGTCTACTGATCAACATTTGAATTTTTGCCTCAAATTTTCTCTTTCATGCTCAAAGGTCTAAAGCTCAGCAAGAGAATATGTTGATTGTGTGCATGACTGGCCTGGCATGCCAGCATGGATGTGGACAATAGATATTCATTTCTGTGATGTTTGAATTATTCTTTTCTGGTTAGCTTACTCTGAATCCAGTTCATTACTGTCTCCATAAGTGATGTTCAAATCATTCTTCTCAGTCCAGCTTGTTTTTAATCCAGTATTTTACAATCTCCACATATGAAGAATGAAAGGTTTTTCTTTCTCAGAGGTATAGAAACAATATGTCAGATGAACACAGCAGATATAGGAAGGTGTAAATATCTGGCTGGATATCATTTAATCATATTGCAATATCCAAGTGCCCTCTTGTATTTTGTGATTTTTATAGGACCAGATTCTGCTGCTTCATATGCCATGTCAATCCTATGCTTGCTTGGTGCTTGCCTTTTGTCTTTGTGTTTGCAGTTCTGTGGTTGCAGGTTTGTGGTTTTGATGAAAGAGCATGGTTTCTGAATCTTCAACTATGATTATGTTTGGACAGACAAGATGCCTTCATATTACTCTATACTGTAACTCCTTGCCTGGTTAGTTATGCTTACTTAGAGCTGATGTTTCAATGTGTCTGTTCTATTCCATTGCTCAAATGTTCTTGTTCTATCACTCTATATTTTTGTTCCTTATGCTTGTTACTCTCTTGTTTTATGGTTGTGCTACCTATTGTTTCCTTTCTGCGATAGTTCATGCATGTCTCCATATAACTCACCTTATACAATGACTACCATCACTACAAAACAAAATGCATTACTATGAATGTTGTCATGAAATATTTCACAGGAACTGAGATTTGCTTAGTATCATAGTGGATATCTACCAGGCATTTCTTTATATTTGGGTAAGGCAAATTGTTCTTTTCTTGTGTTACAGAAACTCACCATTATAAAGAGAGTATGGTTACAAAGCATAAATTTGAGTCAGCAGCAGACTACAGTAAACTGTTGGAAGGTCAACAACTTCTAATTTTAAAGAAAGCTGTCAGGGATACATGGATAAAGATGTGTGTGTTAATTTTTTTTTCTTTTCTCTCTCAACCTCATGGCTAAAGCTCATCATATCTAGCCCTCATTTGGACAATAATCTCAATCTACCATGCAGGCATTGACACCCATAATCCATCAGCTATGATATTGGTTGAGCAGATACTTGAAAAGGTCATACAGGAATCCAATGGGCACTCTACAACCAAAATGGAGCACTATGAATGCAGTCTGGCACCCTATACCAAACAACTGGGCTAAAAGGGAACATCATAACAGAGAGATTATTAGGATGGGCTGGTATCAATGGCATTGATTTTCACACCATGTGGAAGTCACTGAGAAGAGAGGAAATAATTTTATGGAATGTTTGTTCAGCCCTGTCTATGACCATCTTGTCAGTGATGACAGGTATACTGCAAGATGACATTCTGCCATGCCAAGTGGGGTGAATCCTCAACTAATGGACCACTCTGCTCATTTGGCTTCCTCTCAACTGCTATACAGCTCATCCTCTGAATCACATCTCCTTTGCCTCTGGCATGCTCACCACTTTGTCTATGCTACCTTGCACCCTCTAATACTTGCTGCCTACTCCACCATGTGCCAGCTCTATGAGAATAAATGTAGTGTGTGATAGTGTGAAAGTCAGTGGTCCCTCCTGATCCTGCTCTTTCTCCAATGACTCTCATCAAATTAGAGTTGGAATGTAGCAAGCCAAGATGTTTAGGAAGGTATACATGATAGAAAAGTTGCATACCAATGTCATTACCAAGTGTTCATGCTGGTACCATAAGTTATAACATTACTGAGGGAAAAGCCAGTATAGGCTGTTTGTCACAAGCCATTAATGATTAATAAGTCAATCTCTACCTTCAAATGGGCATGTGTCCTTTTCATTTGATGGTCTGCCACCCAAGTCTCATAACCAACACAGTAGCAATTGAGTTGGAGAAAATCGAGTCTCGGCCAACGTTGGCTGCTGTTTGCTCTGTATGGGGACCACCCGAATGACAGGTGTATCTCAGATATTGCTTATCTCCTTATTTTGAACCCTGAATTTCATTGTTAAAATGTAAGTTTATACAGAAAGTGGAGGTGCCCATGACATTGAGCCTATTGTACCAGCAGTAGGAGACAAAATATAGTCTTTGCCTAGCATTTTAAGGCATTCTGTTATTGAATAAAAGGTAAAGCAATTTAGGTATGATGTGGGCCTTTTCGCACAATCGTATATATATGCGTACTTGCACATTATCAACCTCGGTTCGAATCCGAGGGGGTCAGTGACTCCCCAATCCTCTTTTCCTTTTGCTGAACATTGAGATATGTACATTGGAAATTGGAAGTTAGAACTTTGAAGCAATATTTAATAAAGGAGACCTAAGTTTTCAGTGCTTCACTCACTTCAGCTTCGGGCACGTGCAGCGCAGATTTCTACTACGTTACTCTGTCTTGCCACCTCTTTTCTCGATGTCATTCAACATGGACAACGAGTCGCCACAAAGTGCTACGTCCGTATCAATGCCATGGCCATTTTCTGAAGATTTCTCTCTGCCCGGGCGATGCCATCCTGTTGCTGGCAGCTAGCGGATGAGGTACGCGCACGTTCTGTCACCGATGTCATCTCGAGCCGATGAATCGATGTTGCAAATACTGGTCTGAACCTTGAAATTCTACCATACCAAAGTGTCTACATCCGACGTCAAGGCTCTCACCAAATGGGTTGGCACGGCTGCTCGACAACGATGGCTCTCTACCTCTCCAGATCAAATGTAGCGCCGACCCTCTCTTGTGTCTGTGCTCATCCCACAGAGATGACGAGCGTCCAATCTGACTTCTCAAAGCAGTAATTGAAGCCTTGATGACCTCCAGCCATTCTCCTTCACAACGTAGCCATCAAGATGAATGACACGATGGTCTTGTAGGACAAGGGATGGAGGTTCCGGGAGGTGAACAATTTGAAGGAAGCAGGAACGAGTGAGTCACCTTTTTGTCCTCACAGGCGACGAATCTCATAGCAAATGCAGGTACAAAATAATCGCAAGCAGAACCTTCGCAACAGCCCATCACCTTCTCGCCATTATTGACGACTACCATGATAGACCTGCCGACTTAGAAACGACAAGGAACGCATCGACGTTGCCTCTTGCTGTCGAGAAAGGACAGTCCGCCCACAGAGCCTTTTCGTCAGTGGCTACAAGCATACTGGACTGTTTTGCCATGGCAGTGTCCCTATTATCAAAAGACGCCTCGGATCGTTTCGCCTGCTTCTTTGCCATGGTTTTCGTTCGCCTTCTCTGTGTTCATTCACTTGACACCTCGCCTGTGCACTGTCTTTCTCAGGATCGATGTACCATCTAACGCTAGGTCAGCATGTGTGCAAGTCGAGGAAATAAAGTCACTCTCTGCTATCCTAATGATCCTCGGCGACTTGGACAGAGTGTATCCAGCCACGAGTCCAGGACCTAGCGGTTGTGGAGAAAGTCGCGTAGCTCGTTTGGCACAGATTCCTTAATAGTGGTATGGGAAAAGGTGCGCGTTCTGCCATTTTTTTTGTGTCCCACCATCTGAGCGTGCAAACAGAAACCGTCCGTTCGCAAATGGCCGTATCAGTCACTGTCGAATGTGATCTTATGCATGTTGTTTGCACTGACAAGGCTACCAATCATATGGACCAACGCCCACAAGTTGGACATTCTGTTCAATGGCTATCCTTTCCTGCTCGATGATATCGATCTTGAACAGCGCACGCGACATGCATACCGACTCCCATCACGATGGTTTGCTGAATCTTCTCTATCACCCAGAAGGAGACGACGGATCGCCCGTATCAGAGATCAAATTCGTCTCGGGGCGCCAGCACAAGTGGCTTCTGAATGTTTCGAAGCTAATTTGGTCAGTGCTGACCATCTGGGATATCACGGGTACGCAAATGTGCTCGGAATGGTCGCCAAAGGGGCGATATTCACAGGAGTTAAGCTGAACGATGATCCAGACTCTGAAGCCAGTGTGGTGGTTTCATTGTGAGTGCCTATCGGTCTGCTAAACGACTGCTAATGTCTACAGATCACAGAAATTCGTCCTTCTGCACTTGGACGACACTGGGATGCAACAGGAAATCAGGTCTATCGACATTGACCTCCGGCCCGTCAACCTTACGGTGGACGTGCTAGCTCTTGCAGACGACACCTCCGTACGCTCATCCCACAACTGGAAGACAGGCGAGCAAACGTACCTTGACACGCCGCCTGACCATTGTATATCCAAATCGTGCTCACCCCGTCCGCTGTCCTCGTAGTGCCTGCCCGATCCATCACTTTCTACTCATTCCCATCTTCCGCTCCTCTCTCTTCACACTCCATTCGGCGCCAGCGCAACCATCACCTCCATTCTCATCTGCTCTGGGAAAAGCTCTTCCGCTTCCAGAATCACTCATTTGCCATGAAGGACGTAAATACTTCGATCGATTTGAAGAGGGGATGCTATGTTATAGACTCAGGATATAGCATTGACGACGCAACAGCGATGATGTGCAAATCAGCGAAACAATCGCGTACGGTAGACTGGCGACCGTGGCGCGTCTCTCCAGTGGACCTTTGACGGCCACCCTTTCGAAGTCCAGACAGTAACGGGTCTACGTGTAGAGGGAGTAGGGCACAAATCCATGATGAGATCACAGCTTGCCTTGTTGTAACGGGTTTATCAGCAGTGGAGGCTGAATGCTGCGGTCGAGTTTGTCAATTCCCGTGCAAACAACATCAGGATCGTACGTTTCGGGGTTCGTTACTTGGTGAGCAATACCGGCATCTATACTTGGGATTCCGTCCCTTATTCCACTACTATCAGAACACTTGAAGGAAATCCGTCATCTTGCTCGTCTGTATCAGAGGCTCTTTCGCGCAATCGCTTCCTTACCGCGTGTAGTGGACAATCTCGGTTCGATTCCGAGGAGGGTCATTACTTTGGACGTGCGGACTACATTATTCTGTTCTCGACCATGCCGCTTTATTTTCTTTGGATTATTTTGCTGGCGGGATGCGCTTGCGTTTATGCTTCCATCTAATCTGATCTCACCTTTTACTGGGGCTTTGATGAGTCGAGCGTCTGGAGCAGATACAAGGTGCGTCATCTTTACCTCTGGGAGCAGCGATTATCATAGATAGCATATAGATACCATACACCACACTGGGCCGCACATCATCTAGAAGTGTTCATACATAAGCGCAATAGATTCTTCTCGCCTCATGCATATAGGCAGTTGGCATAGTGAACACAAGCAAAATCTGGAACGGAAAGGTTCTTCACTAGTATCGAGATGACTTTTATTTCGATGTAATGAGGGAGTTGCTGAAGAGGAGTATGGCCGATCCTTTCCGTACTGCGTACTGCGGACTAAACTCCCATGCAAAGTTGGGAGGCACATCCGGTTCGTTCACAGGACAATGCAGACACCATGAACCCGAAGGTCATCGTTGACGATATTGCCCATCGCCACGCTTGGGCTTCGTTTGAAGACCAATCTTACGACCTTATAATGGAGCACACATGCAGGACTTGTATGTCGAAAAGAGGCCGAAAAGGTGTGTAACCATTTTGCTTTCTCGTGGATGTTCAATCTGATAGTCAACAGTAGGTACGACGACATCTAAGAGCACACTTCTCGCTGGGTGTCTGCCGCCCTGCGTCAGTGGAGGATGAAGACCTATGAAAAACAAAGAAGACATCGGACGGAGACATGACCAGTCTTGCGTTTTCTATATGACATCGTCTTCGTATCCATTTTGCGGCAGCGCATTGAATTCGACATAGACGCGGATACCAACTCTATTCGCCCCAAAGGGCTACATCCATATCAAGAGGCCCTTATCCCAAGAAAGCTCCACCCGTGCAATGCCATCCTGTGTATTACAGACTAATAGCTCGTCTACCCAGCAGACGAGGTACGTGAGCATTTCATCAGTCCCATCTCGATGCTAATGAATCGATGTTGCAGATTTTGTCTGAACCTGGAAACCTCAACCACGCCAGAAGCGACGTCAGAGCGCTCTCACCAAAATAATTGATCTGGATATGTGTATGCCAGTTCCAGCGGGATTTGCGATACCCATGGGAGGACGCGCAGACGCAGAATAGCAAGTCAATTTGATTTGTCGTCGCGATCACGTGAGCGGCGCATATCCTTAGCGCGTCGATTCAATGATAATCTATCCGTCTCACGAGTCTGCGTTCGTACGTCTATTCAAGATTTGTTCCCTATAAAACAAGAGAGCACCCGCCATCACACATGCTTCTACTGAATAGCCTTCCAAATAGGCTTGACGTCCTTATCCCTACTCTCCAATATGGCTTTGCGAGGGTAATAGCCTTGATAGCATTTAGCAAGGTTCTTTTCACTGAAATTTCGATGACTGCGGGATTCTTGAGGAGCGGTAGAGATTTCTGTGATCATTCATGCCCTTAGGTAATGGGACTTCAGCGAGGATAATGTCTCCTCATGAAATGGGATTGGCTTCATCCTCGACTTCGCGGCAGATGTTTGCGTTATGGTTCTGAGAAATTTCATACGGGCAAGGAGCCATGACATCAGTAGGGCCATACCATAGCAGCCATCCGCACATCCGCTCCACGGTCCAAATCCAACATCGTAAGTTTAGTTTTTGTTCCTATGGATTTTGTTTCATGTGTTCACCCCAGTAACAGAGAAGAGCGATCAACCAACTTGTAATGCGTATCACGCCCTCCTGGTGCGGATGTGGACATCAAATGATCAATACGACCCTCCACGAAGCATGCATCCGCATTAATTTTATGGAAATGACCAAGCACGCAGCAGCTGGATGATTCATGCTGCTCGCTTCTGAGTAAGCTTCGCCCGAACTACTGTATGTATATGACCTGGGCTGAATAGCATTCAGTGCAGTCCAAGCATGATTACTCCGTTCGACCTTCCAACCAAGGACCGCAATTCCCCAAGGACTATGACTACCTGGCGGACCAGGTACGCGTGTAATTTATATTTGATGGCGCGTCATGAAACTAACTGGGTGATGTTGCAGGTACGCCCTAAACGTCAAAAATCTGCCGTACCGGACTGTCCACGTCGAGCTCCCCGACGTCGAAGCTCTAGCCAAAAAGATTGGCGCTGCCCACACCACGATGAAGTACGATGGTGTATCTCCCTTCTACAGCATCCCAATCATCCAGGATGACTACCGGTGCTGTCGTCTCCGATTCTCCCGCCATAGCGTATCTCGACAAGACCTACCCCTCCTCCGGGCCCGTTCTCATCACCGCCAGGACAAAGACCCTCCAGCTTGCCTTCTTAAGCGCAGTAATCGATTCTTTCGCTCCCTTCCGGCCATTCTATGCTGTGGGGATAGTGACAGAGATGAACGAGGCGATAGCGGTGTATTTCTTGAAAACGAGACTAGGTGGGGCTGCTAAGGCTGAAATTACGAACGGCGAAGAGCGAGAGAAGCTGTGGGGAAAAGCGAAAGAGAACCTTGGGAAGATGAGCCGGTGGTTCGAGGGTGACTTTATTATGGGGAGCGAACCGTGTTTTGCGACTACGGCGATTTGCGCGTACTCGTTGTTCATGAGGAGGATGGTTGGGGAGGAGAGTGAGGAGTGGAAAGATATCATAGGTGGGGAAGGTATCTGGATGGTTTCGAACTATATGAGAAGCTGTTGTAGGAAAGGGCGTCGAAAGAGAAAAACGAGATCCGGCAAAGGCCGACGCCGCTACTCCCTCACTTCAACTTGCACCATCGACCTTGTGCCGGTACCAACACCAACACCATTGACGCTCTACCTACAAAGTTGGCTCTACTCGCCCTTTCACACGTTCGCTCCCAAGTCTGCCTGGCCGTAGATAATTGATAATCTATCTGCTACATAATGCATCTCGTGAGTTTGCTTTTGTTCCTATTGACTTTGAACGATCAGGAACTCATTGCGCCTGGCCGTATCTTTGCTGGTCGACAGTCATAGCTTTCTCTGCGAGTCGAAGATGTGGGGAAATTTCTGTTTGCCACCTTACGCTCTGCAGGACGAATCTCACGAACGATGAAGATTAGTACAAGTTACTAAATACATCATGCTACCCTAAGGCCATCGCCGATGATAATATCACCCATTGCCACGCTTGGATTTCGCTCGATACTGTAGCGCGACCAATCTTACAGCCTTGTAATGGCGCATACATGCAGGGCTTGGATGTTGGAAAGAAAAGTAGCGAGTGCGTAACCGATTTCTCTCTCGCAGAGTGGAAATCTCATGCTCAAAACTGGCTTCTAGGAGGTACCAAGGTCTCCAAGAGCACACTTCCAGCTACTTCACTCCGCCCGTCAGAGATGACGATAAAGAGGACAGCCAGCAGGGATGTGACTAGTCTTCCGTCGCCGCAATGTGGTACACGACGCGGTATTTCCGCCTCGCATCACGCCCTTCTCGATGTGATTAGACACAGATGTGGATACCTATACCAGGTTCCACAAAGTGCTGTGGCCGTATCAAGATCAGGGCCATTATCTCGAAGACCAAAGATCACCAAGCAAGCGCATTCTCCTCCGGACCCATACTCATACCAACCGTGACGATGACCCTCCCACCTTGCCTTGTCCAACGCAACAACTGAAATATTTGCTTCCCCCGCTGCGACTAACTGAACGATATGACAACAGCTTACACGAGCAAGAAGGTTTGGGTAATGGTCAAAGACAATCTCGGGAAAATGGGCAAGTGGTTCGAAAGAAGTGAAGATGACTTTGTCATGGGGAGGGAACCTTGCTTCGCCGACATGGTCATTTTCATGTTTTATACCCCACGAAGAGAATGCTCTGTGAATGCATAGGCCGTAATCACTAACTGGTAAGTTGTGCATCGCTTGCATTTTTTTCTGGGCTCAGATCTTCGCAGGATCAGCACACGATCAACACGTGATGCGATTGCCTGTAGTCTTCAGGCAGATCTCCCCCATCTTCCCTTTTTCGACCGCTAGCCGACGGTTGTAGGCTTCTATGGGCACTTGGAAGAGGAAGATGCAACACTAAATAAGTGTGTTACCTTTCCTTTTGCAGAGTGTCGAATCTCATGGATAATACGGGCGGTACGCTGACACCGTTTGGGCAAGTAAATCACCCTACCTTGAAGGACTGCACCGAAACACTAGCTACGACACTCAGGCTCCGCTCAATACTGTTGGTCTATTCTACTTCCATCATCAACATTGTACATAGAGTTGTCTCTCATTGGCGCCACTGCATCCTTTCCTGCGTCTGGATTATCTGTCTAATATCGTAAGTTTGGCTTGGTCCTATGTCAATAGAATTTGCTTCACGTGTTTGCCCCAGTAAACTGGAAGAGTCCGAAGGGAGCAGCCATATTGTGATGTATATCGTCTGGACAACGAAATCCCGCTGGTTTCTCATCCGCGGTCGTGGATATCAATAAGAGCGGCCACCGAAGCATACACCCGCGTTAACTTCATGGAAATGACAAAGACCGCAGTTACTGGATGATTCATGCCAGCTACTTAGTAAGCCTTGCCTGAAATGTTGTATATATATAATCTAAGCTGAATAGCATTCCTTGCAGTTGTGGTGAACTCACAACATGATTACTCTGTACGACCTTCCGACTAAGGCAGCCGATTCTCCGGGGACTATGATGACCTGGCGGACCAGGTATGTGTGTATCTTCAAGGCGCGCGCCAAAGCTAACCAGGCGATGTTGCAGGTATGCTCTAAATCTCAAAAGTCTGCCCTACCGCACTGTCTACGTCGAGCTCCCCGACGTCGAGGCTCTAGCCAAAAAGATCGGTGCCGCCCCCACCAGGACGAAGCCGGATGGTGTATCTCCCTTCTACACGATCCCAATCGTCCAAGATGACTCTACTGGGGCCGTCGTCTCCGACTCTCCCGCTATAGCGGCTTATCTCGACAAGACCTACCCCTCCTCCGGGCCCGTTCTCATCCCCACTGGGACGATGACTCTCCAACTCGCTTTCTCCAGTGCAGTCGCCGATGCGTTCGGTCCCTTCCGGCCATTCTACACTGGGGGGATAGCGACAAAGATGAACGATGCGACGGCGGTGTATTACTTGAAAGCGACACTAGGTGAGGCTGGCAAGGTTGAAATGCCAAAAGGGGAGGAGCGAGAGAAGCTGTTGGTACAAGCGAAGGAGAACCTTGGGAAGATGAACAAATGGTTCGAAGGAAGCGAGGGGGACTTTGTTATGGGGAATGAACCGTGTTTCGCGGACACGGCGATTTGTGCGTTTTTGTTGTTCACAAGGAGGATGGTTGGGGAGGAGAGTGAGGAGTGGAAAGACGTCGTTAGTTGGAATGATGGCAGGTGGGGAAGGTACCTAGAGAACTTCAAGCCATATGAGAAACTGTCGTAGAAAGGATCTTCGAATACCCACTCGATTTTCCGCCGATTCTTTCAAAGGCAGCCGTCGAGCGACATTTTCTTTATGAGGAAATTCCGCCGTTGTTGGGAAAGATCGCTTTCCGTTCGTGTTTGGCGGGTCTGTGTTTTATTGCTGTGTTCAAGTTCTTTGTACTCTCTCTGCGTTATTTCTCTTGACCACATTATGAACAACAAAATATATCGGAGCGGTATATTTATCACGGCTTTTGGTGTAGCTGTTTCATCGTGTACATTGTAGCGAGTGACCTCAGTTCGAATCTGTGAATGTCCATTCCTGAAGCAACTTCATCTTTCCTTTTTATGTAAAGAACTAAGAAGATTAGATCCAGATTCACCAGGAGGCCATTGTTGGACCTCGAATAATCATTTGGTTCAGATGCAGGCACTCTTAAAGACAAGCCTGACGCGATATTTTCCTTGTCGTCGAGTCTCGCCTGTCCAGCTTCGCTCTGTTGTACTGCTTGCGACCATTCAATTACCACACACTCCTCCATCGTGCCCAGCTGTTCTCTCTATGGCGACACTTTTCCGTTATGTATCAGAGTACTTACTGGCCTGCATACATCCCTCGTTCCTCTACGTGGCTGATTGGTAAGATCATTTCGTGGAGATAATGGGCTGGGCGCGCGCCTGTATCATAAGTATCCTTTGGTGTAGTCATTTCTTTACCGGACGACCTCAATTCGGATCTAGGAAGATCTACTTACGTATACATTCCAGTTCTTACTTTGCACACGCAGTGCATAAACACAGAAACTCGAAGAGGGTACGGGTCTAATCTGGCTCAGGATTAAAACGAAAGAGCGGTGTAGGTAGTGAAGAGAACGGAGGCTACCACAACAATGACGAGGGAGAATAAGGACATGTACAGTCGGTCCATAGCTGAGGGGCGAATCCAGGGCATAGTAACGCATGTGCCTTCCAGCTTGCACTTGAGAGAGCATATTCGGAGTCGTACGAACTATGGATTCCTACACGAATGTTAGCTCCATTCGTGAGGATGCTATACCTACTCGCGGGGAGAGATAGGCAGTGTGCCTCACAGATGGACTTACTCAACATTTGCTCTTTGGGTCCAGCACATCGCACGGGGGCTATGAGCGCAGATATCGAGACCGATGAGATATGAAATCCTGGGAGAGGTGGAGTTGGATCTTAGGCTAATCCATATGTACAGAGCTTGGTTCCTTTGCGGTGGTATTACAAGTACCTTCGGCGATCGTATTGCGATGGGCCGTCGTCGTCAAGCCTATACAGTGGACTTTACAGCATTCTGCTAAAAGTACTGTCTCGAAGCCTGAAGAAAGCTTAAGAGAAAATGGAGATGGAGATTGCACAATGACGCACGGCGTTTTTTTTTTGAGATTAACGGTAACATTATCGTCCTCCAGCCAACAAATTCACGCTTTATATTCTCGCCAACGCCAAGATGGAATGGTCCAGGAGAAAGAGACGGATGTGCGGGAACCAGAACGGTTTCGTTCGTCAACGAAGTCAGTACGTAGCGGGAAACCATGTTAGCTCCTCAATGTCATCGTGGTCAGGAGGGAAGGAGGAGGAGGGAGGGGACATTGGGCCTCAAACGTATTGGTATTGAGCAGGATGGGATTATTCATGGACGTCGGGAGCAAGGAAGGCCGTGACTATGTGACGCCATACGGACCTTCCTGGTCGTCTCATCTTTTTCTCTTCCTTCCACCACGGCAGCAGAATTCGTCGCTGCGAATCCTTACCGTGTCAAGAACGACCTCAGTAATTCTTACCCATTACGTCCGCTGCCGATGGAAAGGATTTCTCTTGGAGCGTGCACCCGATACCTGCCGATGAGATGATATCTTGTTCATGGTCCTAGGGAGTTTTCAACGGTTGGTGCAGCATCATTATCATTGTAGCGAGAGACTGAACAAAATTCATAGCTACGACCTCTGCTTCACTGTTGCATACTGCTTGCCCAATTCTTCCTCTGCAGACAGACGGATGCATCAGTATATCCTGAACAACTGTTTCAGCGTGGAGGACCGAGCTAGTGGTCAAGGTGGGGAGGAAGTCAGCAATGTCGGAGAGGTTGGATCTGCCTGGTGCTGGTGACGAAGCCGAGGCGGAGGGAACGAATGGTCTGGCATCGTCGTTGTCAACCCCGATGGGCTGACCGACGCCATATTGTTGTATACGGTGTTTGTCAGTTCATCGCGACTGACGCGATGGTGCCAAGTCTTCTCGTCCCTCTTGGCGCGCATGAAGTCCACCCAGTCGTTAGGGTCACTGTAGGTCGTGGTGTATGGTGTGCCAGAGCGGCGTTCGTTCCTCCGACGCCATCCTATCATCATAGTGGGGCTTGCCAAGGAGGGTCAGTAGGTACTATCTTACCCAGACATGATGGACAAGAGTCGGTGCGTCGTCTGGAGTTTCACCAGGGATATACTGATCATCATCCAGGATTGAGAGCGTATGCCGGTGCAAATCGAATGGATGGATAGGCAGCGTGTGGCTCGGTTCAGTATCAATCTGGTTCCTCCAGGCCGTCACCTGTTCGATGACCTCAAATAGTTTTCCTGCTACCAATGAGTTCCTCAGTTTCTGTACCAGTGAATGACGCACTCACCAAAATATCTCCTTCACAAGCAAACGGCATATTATCCCGCTCATTTAGTGGAGTCTCCATGGCCCTATTCCTAAAGGCTACAGTGTTTTCAAACCCAAAGATGCTGAGCTGCGATGTGACGATTAGTAGAAACTCCTTCGTATTCGCGATCGTGGCTCACTAGAATGTACGTCCAGTCCCGGATCTCGGACATTGGCACCTCTGAGTCCTCCATGTTGCGAGATGAGTTCATATTGGAATCTGGCAGGTTGACTTTCGATTCGCGGTCGTTGTACAAATTACAAATCACGAGCCCTGAAGACATGAGCCTTTGTTTTCTTTTCGGACGGCTGGCAAACCACAGCGGGTACATCTTTCTTCTTCCCATATCAAGTGCTCAGGTTGAGCGCTCTCTGTTAGTTTGACGTCAATCATTGTTTGGTGCAAGTATGATAAAATCTTCCTGTGCTCGATTTGCTTCCTTGACGGTCACTTGCCACCGGGATATCTAATACAGATAGGATCGTCCTCCTTCTTGATATTTCTCCAAGTTTCGGTCTTCGTGGTCTTCTCATACTGGTACGCGAACCCTAATTATCAGTTGGTCAAACGAAACTCCGCTACGGACCTAATGTCTAATCCTGTGGCGCAGCATCAACCAATACGTCCGCCACAATGGACCAAGGTACACGTTTAATTTGTTTCTGTTCTTCCGATATGTACCTATATGGTATATGCAGGGTTTCTGGCTTTCATTTGCACGGAGCAAACAAATCTCTCGCGTGTTGAAGTAGCACACCCTCCATGTCACTCTTACCTTACATAATCGTAGCTACCAATACTGGAGATCGAAAGTCAACGCTTACTAGCTTTTGACTTTCGACTCCAGACCTGGCTTTCCCCGCTGCGCTTCGCAACCTGCTCTCAACATCGCGAAGGCATACTCGGTGCGTTACCTTTGGCTCTGCAGGATGAATCTCATGGACGATGCAGGAAAAACGAATTCATGACTCTACATTGTCATGCTTGAGTTTTGCTTGATGTCATAGTGCGGCGATCCTTACGGCGTCGTCCATGCAGGACTTGCGTGTTGGAAGAAAAGGAACCGGTGCGTAACTGTTTTATATCTTCGCAGACCATGAATCTCATTCAAGACTGGCCTTTAGGGTGCGATGATCTCAATGACCTCTCTCCGCCAATCAAAGGGATGAAGACCTTTGAAAAACGAAGAGGAAAAGATGCCTTAGCGGCTAGTAGAGGCGTGGCCATTCTTCCGTTTCCAATCTACTACATCACTTGGTCTCGGGACTTTGACCTTCTGCTGCCTCGGATCCCCTCGATACTATCCGACATGCCAGTGATCGTCGCAAGAAAGTGCTACATACATCACAATATCGAAGCCTTTTTAAAGAACGAAGACCATCATGCAGACCCCACCTGAGTGATGCCTTTACCATTCACGAATAGTTGACGGCATTTCTCTATGGATGTTTCGACCGTTTGGTTGAAGAGCGGGGGGCGGAACCCGGTCCGGAAGACCGACGCGCGTCTTTTGTCATTACTCCCACCGCTCGCTACCAAAAAGTACTCGAAAATCGCCTTGAATGGTTTCGCAGGAGCTGGGCTTTGCTCGGTACTCTCAGGTGTAGCAGCGGTGAATATCTATCGGGCAGAGTAGTATGCGAGTTGGAGGGACCTGCAGATATGTGCGTTCATTTTCTTCTTTTCTCTCTCTCTCTCTCAATCTTATGGCTGCATAGTCCTCGTTCGGACACTACTTCCCGCTTTAACTTCCACTATCGAGCGGTACAAACGCGAACACGATCGACACTCTACCTACAAAGTCGGCTCTACTCCACCCTTTCGCACGTTTGCCTCCAAGTCTACCTGACGATAGATAATCTATCAGCTATCTCGTAAGTTTACTTCTGCTCCTTGGATCTGGTTTCCCCAATAAAACAAAAGTGTAGTCAGCCAACATGTGATGCGTATCATCTGAATAATAAAGGCCCGACTCCGCGGTCTTGGACGGTATGGTCGTGGATGTCAATAGGTTACGAGCGGCCACTGTACATCCGCATTAACTTCGTGGAAATGACAAAGATCATAGCTATTGGATGATTCATATTAAGTATGCCTCGCGCGAACTATAACCCAAGCTGAACTGCATTCATCTTAGAGTCATAGTGAACCCCCAGCATGATTAATCTGTACGACCTTCCGTTCAAAGCCCCAAATTCCCCAGGGACATTAAAAACCTGGCGACCAGGTACGCGTATATTGCACTACACGCGTATCATAAAACTGACCAGGAAATGCGGCAGGTATGCCCTAAACCTCAAAAACCTGCCCTACAAGACCGTCTATGTCGAACTCCCCGACGTCAAAGCTCTAGCCAAAGAGATTGGCGCCCCCACCAGCACGAAGCCTGATGGCGTCTCCCCCTTCTACACGATCTCCATCACCCAAGACGACCCCATCGGTGCCGTAGTTTCTGACTCGGTCGTCGTAATAGCTTATCTCGACAAAGCATACCCTTCCTCCGGGCCCGTTCTCATCCCCGCCGGGACGATGATCCTCTAGCTCGCCTTCTTAAGTGCAGTAGTCGCCGCTTTCGTTCCCCTCCTGCCATTCCGCTTTCCGGTACTGACGACGAAGACGAACGAGGCGACAGCAGTGTATTTACTGAAGACGAGGCTGCATGTGGCTGTCAAGGTTGAGATGCTGAAAAGGCGAGGAGCGAGAGAAGCTGTGGGTAAAAGCGAAGGAGAACCTTGGGAAGATCAGCAAGTGGTTCGAAGGAAGCCAAGGTGACTTTGTTATGGGGGGCGAACCGTGTTTCGCGGACACGGTGATTTGCGTGTATCTGCAGTTCATGAGGAATATGGTTAGGGAGAAGAGCGAGGAGAGTTTCACGCCGTATGAGAAATTGTTGTAGGAAATCACCTCGAATAGCCCAGTCGGTTGCCAGAATAAAGAGGACGTGGCATAATGGACAGGCTACCGTGCAATATGCAAGAGAAGGGAGCGGGGGAGGCTGATGTGATAGCAGTCTTGGAACTGGTGAACAAATGACACAGGTACATTTCTGCTAAAGTCGTGCGTCGCCGTTGATTTTTATCAAGACAGATTAGATTGAATATTATATCGTGTAGGCTTTGGTAAATACTTAAATACTTACTTATAGCCTAAGTCCCTGCCATAGATACTGGTCACTATGTGTTGTTGGAGATAGTCGCTGGAGCGCTGGAAGCCCCAGAAGAGTCATCGTCGTGCAAAAAAGTCGCCGAGGGGGTTAGATAGCGATATCATGGCAGCAGCAACACGAGAATGATGAGGACAGGACAGTAAGAACGGTCTTCCAAGCAGCTACTGGTGGTATAGATGAAGGAATGACACTCCCTGAGGCACTGGATGCCCCAGGGGAAGTTGTTGCCTATCCAAGTAATAAGAATAAGCGCGCTCCTATAGCGCTTAAATCATTCGTCACGTTGACCTAGTACCACCATGCCCCTTCTAGCGTTACCCACAGAACTGCTAGAGAAGATTGTTATTATGGTAAGCCAGAGTCCTGAGCTTTTTACTTCACCTAACTCTTCTTTGTAGACTGATCCTCGTACCAGCAGTCGTCAAGCAATCCGACTGACATGCAGAACTCTCTGCGACGTTGCCACGCCTTTTGTTTTCGAACATTTCTATATAGATTTCGCGAAGATTGAAACACATAAGTCTCGTACAATCCGTTTCCTCAAAGAGCTTTCACAGGGTCGACGATTGGCCAGATTCATCCGATCTCTGTATTTCCTTACATCCAGCGGCACCTACAAGCCTAAATTCAGCGGTATTTGGGGTGCAAAAACATTTTCCCAGAGAGTGGGGAGACTTATTTTGGCAGCCGTGCTGCAGATGCAAGGTTTGCAAGAATTCCAGTGAGTAGTCAATTTCCTCCCGAGTCCCTGGAAATCAATTCAGTGATGCAGTTGGAAGGAGCTCAGAAAAGCAAAGATGTGCTCAGAGATAATGGATCAAATCATTCATTCACTAAGCGATCGTCCTCATCTCCATTTTGTTTCGATATCAGCGTATGGAATCGACGACGACATCCCTTGCGCACCATTCCATGGTTTAACCCGCCTGAAGATTAGCGGACATGGTTCTTTGGATTATGTTCCTGCCATCATCGCAAACAGTCCAAATCTATCCACGCTCGGTGTTATTATCGATCGCTGTGAATCTCCTCCACCGCACTTTCCTGTGCTCTCTCTCTTCAGTGCATTCGCTGAGGGAACACATAGCTCTGTGCGGTCAGTGATGCTTGTAGGCCATTACTTCAGTCTGGAGCCGTCAACTATTCCTGCCCTTATCCCACACTTGCGGAACTTGTCGGAATTCTGCTTGCCACTTGGCTTTATTGTTCCCGATGAGTTCTGGAACGCATTGCTTGACGCAGATGTGCACCTTCCTCGCGTGATATCACCCTATACAGCACTTACTAATTCTTTCCTGCATTATCTTGGAGCTTATCATGGATTGAAGGTGTTACATCTGTCTCTGGGTGCACCCGGAAATGACCAAACCGATACACGATTATTTCTCCGTCGCATCATCCCAGCACACTCGTCGAGTTTAACAAGTATCCTGGTTCAACCTGAATATGCAGGATCCTGGTGTTTCGATATTCCCATGCTCAAAGCTCTATTACTCTGCACCAATCTTGAGCACATTGGAATCAGTGTCGATATGCAGAGGGCTCAAGTGAAACACGACGAAAACGTCATTGTGAGTTTTCCGTTCAACTGCATCCCCTTCATGGACTTGACAAACGGAATATTTACAGACAAAACTGCTGGAGAATGTGCAACATTGGCATTCTCTGAGACGGCTGGAAATTGCGGCGATGTCTACTGATCCCACGGCCCGTTCTCCCAGTACTGCTGATGAAGAAAAATCTCTCAAGAGGGATATTTGTGTTCACATTGTGAATTGTCTAATGAAATTCGGGTGCACAGACCCGACCCCTCAGATGCTCAAGCTGATGATCGATACGGATTTTATACACGATCTTCAGCTTTGCCTATTCGAGCCTAATTCGCAGATCTACAATTTTTTTTCGCCACGCTTCCCGGAGATGTGGAGGGATGATGTGAAAGCTATCCCAATTCTTGACAAGATCGAAGAGGAGGTTATTCGTTTCAGATATGTTTTACCTTGATGAGTAGTGCTACGAGCTATGTCTATGGAATATACACACTGTACAAGACTTATTTTGGGTGCAAAGTCTCAATTTTATTTATATCTAGAGGATGGCAAGATATCCAAGGAATTCTTTCTTGGTAGGAGTGGCTCTTGTGATAAGGTATGTGCTGGATCACGTTGTTAGGAGGAATTCGTGACGGGATTCATTTGTATCCTACTTTATTGTGCAGCCATCAAAGCTTACTTGTGAAATCATACTTAATGCCTCCATCTTAGAAGACACGTATACAAGCTCGCCTGTAGAATGGTGCATTGGCCATCAATTCCAATTGCTGTTCAAAGTACCAGCCATAAAGGTTGGCAAGATCTGGTGAGTCCACTAAGCCCATTCCTAGGCTAGACTTGTGTTCATAGAATTGAGCAGTGTACTACAAAACAGTGCAAGACCAGGTGTTGGTTACCGATGAGGGATTTAAGAAAGATTTGTTCATAACATAAGTCTTCCTCCGTAGGAGCCCCATAATGTTCTTCGTACAAATGTATAATCACGTCGAGACATCTTTGTATTGGAATCTTATATTATTAGAACGCACAGAGCGAAAGCTAAAAGTCAAAGAACAAAACATTGGTTCTAAGAGTGTCACCCAAAAGTCCAGCCTGCATTTTCCATCCAAGTGGACAACATGCTCTGGCACACGAACGGGCATTCACAAGGGTGATCTCCCTCTCACAGTCAAATGAGGCTTGCCGTTCCAAGTGCCAAAAGGTTTTTTTAAAAAAGGAGGGTGCTCCGTCGCACAGAAACGGGATGAAAAATTCTCTGCTGTAACCCTAACCCCAGGCAAACTCAGGGTTGTAGGGGCTTGACATGGACTGCAGATCTACCTTACCTCATAAAAGTCCCAAATCATGCCAGACACCAACTCCGATTCGTCCTCAAACGGCAGCAGATGCAACAAACGAAACAGGGGCGAACGTGGCTGACTTCTGGTCTCAATGGTCGGCTCCGGTGTCCGGTGACTACGTATTGAAGAGAAGGACATGGCTAAGCAGAATTAGAGTTGGCACAGGAGTAGCGAAGCATGACATACCTTCTCGTTGGGTCAAAGCCGTGCAGTGGTAGAGCTGAGAAGAGACCTGGAATGCTGCTCGCCGGACATCATGCGCAAAAGACGCCATTCATCAAATGCCCGCGTCGTCTTAGAGTCTAGATGCAAACGGTGAGATGAAAGACAATTTCAACGTGTCAGGTAACTTACCTGCTATGTGTCCGGAAATGTTTTACTGTCACTTACTTCTTATTGCTGCGAATTGGCTACGAGTATTTGGATACATAGCCTCGGCGTAGGGCAAGGGAAGGCAGACATGGATGAGCGTATCGCAACCTGGGAAATTGATGGCATGGCATCGTCACTCGGCAAAAGGCAATCCGTCGTCCCGAATCAAAACTCGGTGTCCAAGCAGCCTCTGAGTTTCTCCCTCGAAGGCCTCTTCGCAGACTTGCCATCGATCCTGACTGCCCTGAGGTGGCCGGAAGAAGAGGGTGTAAACACAGATCCACTTCTGCTCTCCGGTACTTATGCGCCTAGCTTCTTTCGCCAAGTCCTGACACGTTCCATGCATGAGATGCAAAAGTTTTGCGGCCAGGCAGCGGATTCGCATGAGGATGATGGCCCATAGCGGAGCGTCAAGGAGAACTTGGACGCGATGAAATACAAGTGGTCCGAAGCCATTGAACCGGACGACTCGTGAATCCGTCTGGAGGATGTTATGAGGGGAAAAAAAAACAACAAAGGACAATAGACATTAGACAACGCACCCATAGTTCTTCCCAGCCTCTCCGAACACGAATTAGAGAAAGAAATTGATACGCCTTCGCGCTTGCTGCCCGAGCCAGATGATAGAAAGCAAATCTTCGTATCCAAATAGGTCTCTGACTTTCTTCGCACGTGTAGCAGTTTTGCAAGATATACAGGGACGTACTCTTTCAAAGCCACCTGGTAGGGTACCTAAGATTTGTCCAGAATGCCGATTGCAGAAGGCCCAAGCGAACACGATGCGAGAAAGAGTATTGATCGTCAAGTCCCCGGCGAAAACCAAGCACACATCCAGTCCGTGGTCTGAAAGGCAGGAGCCCAAAGTCCAAGTTGGCTGCGTCAGTCTGCAGAGCTTGGAGGTACTTCCTACTCCGGCCATTTACGCGAGGGGGTTTGGGCCCGCGAGTGTTCAAGAGTCCGGAGGAAAACTTCGACTCTCGTCCGTCCGAGGGCAAATCCAGGGCACATACATAACGCATATGCATTGTACTTGAAAGCACATATACCGAGCGGTACGGCCTGCAAATTTCTGGATAAATGTTGGTTCTGTTTGCAAGGATGCTACATCGACTCACTCATCATCAACGGTGAGCTCATCAGAGCCCGGGGTCCATTAGAGCACGCGTGTACGGTTGATGAGGATGATGGAGGTACTTAGACGCTGTGATTGAGGCCCAGTCGCCCGCCGTGGATTGTTTTGTCAAACGTTGGAAGACCTAGAGAAGCATATCATGATCGGCTGTAAAGAATGACCGGACGAATGACGCACCGGGAAGTCGCCTCATAGGTGGTCTTTCTCGACCTTCGCTCTTTGGATCTGGCACGTCGCACGCGGGTTACGAGCGCATATATCGAGACCGGCGAGATACGAAATCCTAGGAGAAGTGTCATTGCCTCTTAGGTTCCATATGTACCAAGCCTGGTTCCTTCGTGGTGGTATTATGAATACCTTCGGCAACTGTCATGGTGATGGCCCGTCATCGCCGAGTCTATACTGAGCTATCCAGTGAGGAACCATCCACTTTCTGCCAAAAGAATCGTCTCGAGACCTGAAGAAAGCTTGAGTGAGGATTGTGATGGAGGTTATACCACGACACACCGAGTTTTTTGGGACGGATTAACGGTAACATTATCGTGGTCCAGCTTACAAATTTACACTTTGCATTCTCGTCAACGCCAAGATGGAAGGGCCCAGGAGAAAGAGACGGATCCACGGAAACCAGAGTGGTTTCGAGCCAGTATGTAACGAGGAACCATTCTAGCTCTTCAGCGCCGCTGTGGTCTGGAGGGGAGGAACAATGCGCCTCAAAGGTAGTAATGTTGAGCGGGATGGGATTACTCGTGAACGTCGGGAGCAAGGAAGGCCGTGACTGTGACGCCATACGGACCTCCCGAGTCGTCTCACCTTTTTCCCTTCCTTCCACCATGACAACAGAACTCGTCGTTGTCGATCCTTATCATGTCGAGAACGATCTCAGTAATTCTTACCCCAGTGTGCTTGCTACCGATTGGAAGGATTGCTCGTGGAGTGTGCACCCGATACGTACCGATGTAATGAATCTTGCTCATGATCCTAGAGTTGTCAAGGTCGGTGAGACACTATTATCATTGTTGTGAGAAACTGAATGGAAAGCATAGTTACTACCTCTGCTTCACTCTCGGATGCTGCTCTGCCCAATTCTTCCTCTGCAGATAGATGGATGCATCAATATCTGAACCGTCGTTTCAGCATGGAGGACCGAGCCAGCTTCGGTCGTCAAGGTGGAGAGGGATCCTTCAATGTCAGAGAGAGTGGATCTGCCTGGTGCTCGTGATGAAGCTGAGGCAGAGGGTGGGAACGGTTTGGCATCATCGTTGTCAACCCCGATGGGCTGACCGATGCCGTATTGTCGTATATGGATTTGGTTGGTTCATCGCGACCGGCGCGATGGTGCTGAGTCTTCTTGTCCGTCTTGCCACGCATGAAGTCCGCCCAGTCATTGGGCTCGTCGTATGGGTCATGGTGTATGGTGCGCCAGAGCGCCGTTCGTTCCTCCGACGCCTTCCTATCATCGTTGCGCTGCTTGCCACGGGGCAGGTACCATCTCACCCAGACGTTAGGGTCGAGGATCGGCGCATCATCTGGAGCCTCGTCCGGAACATATGGATTATCATTCGAGATCGAGAGTGTATGCCTGTGCACATCGAATGGATGGATAGGCGGCGTGTCGCTCGTTAGGGTATCGATCTCGTTCCTCCAGGCTGTAACTTGTTCGACGACCCCCAAATGGTTATCCTGCTATCAATGAGTTTCCTAGTTTCTGTACCAGTGAATGAGTGCTCACCAAAATCTCTCCTTCACAAGCAAACAGGATCTTATCCCGCTCATTTAGTGGAGTCTCCATGGCCCTTTCCCTAAAAAGCTACAGTGTTTTCAAACCCAAAGGCGCTGAGCTGCGATGTGGCAATCAATAGTTATTCCTCCGTATATGCGGTCGTAGCTCACAAGAATGTACGTCCAGTCCCAGATCTCAGACACTGGCACCTCTGAGTCCTCCATGTTGTGAGATGAGCTCATATTGGAATCTGGCAGGTTGACTTTCAATTCGCGGTCGTTGTACAAATTACAAATCACGAGCCCTGAAGACATGAGCCTTTGTTTTGTTTTCAGACAGCTGGTAAACCACAGCGGGTACGTCTTTCTTTTTCCCATCAAGTGCTTGGATTGAGCGTTCTCTGTTAGTTTGACATCAATCATTGCTTGGTGCAAGTATAATAAATTCTGCCTGTGGTCGATTTACCTCACTTGTCGTTGACTATGACTCGCCACCGGGATACCTAACATAGATAGGGCCGTCCTCCTTTTCAAGATTTTGCTAAGAGTTCGTCTTAATGCTATTCCCTTTTACTGGTCTTCGAACCCCAATTATTGGCTGGTCAAACGAATCCCCATGGCGGACCTAGTCTAATTCTGTGGCGCAGCGTCAATCTCGCTTTACACGTCCACCGCAATGGACCAAGGTACGTGTTCAATTTGTTTTCTTTCTTCCGTTACGTATCTAAACGGTATCCGCGGAAGTCTTGCGAATGTATATCCGGTGCGTTACCTTTCGCTCTGTAGGACGAATCTCACGAACGACGCAGGTGCGACGAACTCCTGATACTACCCGAAAGACATTGCCAACGATACCAACTGTTGTCACACTCGGGCTTCGTTCAATGTCGTATCCTATGGCTTTGTCCTGATGTTGGAAGGAACTCGTTGACACTTACCATCTTTTAGGCCCGCGCTCACCCCCACCGGGTCGATGACCCTCTACGCTGCCTTCTCCAGTTCAGCAATCGAGGTTTTTCCTAACGAATGCAAGGTGAAGATTCTGCCCAATGCGGAGAGCAACGATTCTCATAGATGATATAGATACCATCCTGGCTGCCCGCATATTGTCTCAAAGGACTGCACCACCACTGTTTGCGTTTTTTGGTGTCCTGTTAGCGTAGCGCAACTGGTCACACGTGAGTGCAATGAACTCCTCTCGCCTCATAACAGCGGCAAGAACCCACGTTCAATAGGCACGGGTGCGTCATCATTTCACCCTAACAGTCGACGAACCTCATAGCTAATACAGGCAAGGTGGGGCACCTCAATAGAACGGAAGGATTATTGTTCGATATCGAAGCGAATTTTGTTTCTGTGTGATGAGGACTCCTTTCCTCCTCGCGCGTCCTGGGGGGCTAGGTTCTATATCAAGTTTGGGGGAAATTCCAGTGCATTACGTGACGAGTCTTATGGCCTCAGTACATGATTCGAAGGAAAGCATGCGTACCTTATCTTCCCCCCAGATCGCGAATCTTATTCAAGGCAGGCCTCTGGCACACGACGGTCTCCCACACTTCTCACCTCCAACCAGAGGCGAAGATCTCTGAAAAACAAACAAGAAAAGACGCCTGACCAGTGGGCGGAGGCGTGACTATTCTTTCGTTTCCAGAATGTACTTACATGACTCGGTCTTGGCATTTTGCTGCCTTGTATCTTTCGATATTATTTGACATGGTCGTCGCCAGAAAGTGCTGCATCCATACCAACATCGAGGCCCTTATCTCAACCACCTGAGCTATACCATTTCTTCGTGGTCGCGGAGAAACGTTGTTCCTCGGTAGAAGAATTTCCTGGGGCGGCATATACTGGTACCTGCCTGGAGAAGGAGGGCTGATCTCGCAGCTGATTAATCGAGGTGTCTGTCTGCGTTGCTATGGAGGGCATCGAAGTTATCGCGCAAAGAGACGACGTACCCAGCTCGTCAAAAATCCTTCTCTGATCGCGTCGTTGATGCCCTCCGTTAGCATCTCCGTGTTCAACTTTGAATCAAAACGCGAGTCCAGGTCTTTCGATACTACCATGTAAATTGTCGCCGTTCCTTTCTATTCTCTTCAGACGCGCTTCTATACAGCTTACACGACGTTCCATATTGAGGTCCGAGAGCCCGATTTGTCCTTCATGTTTAACAGGCGCGTCTGTGTACGCTCCAGTAAGACGTATATGCCAAGTACATCAATTTCTTCATATCTATGGGAAATGTAGAGGACATGCAGATGCAGGTGTGTGGTAGAAGAGACACTGACAGAAATAAAAGAAAAAAGGAAATTAATTTGATGTTCTGGCATGACCACGTGAGCGACGCGTACCCTTGACGCGTGGATTCCAGGATAATCTCTCCACTACACGGATGGTTGACTGGTCTACATTCGTACGTCTATTCAAGATGCAAAACAAGATAGTGCACGGCGTCACGCAAGCTTCCACTCAATAGCCTTCCAGTGCAAAAGTCTGAACGGTATGTATTTCAGAAAAGCGGAGCTACTTTCCTCTGCGACGGAATACCTGTGTCCTACATAGCGTGAATTGACAGACTGATTCCCTCAGCGAAGAAACATACCATACCCATGACCATGACTCTTCCAGGACCCGCACCAATCCAGAGTCTGGGCTCTGCTTCGAACCATGATATTGACAGATTTCGTCGAAGATCTTCACATAATGTCCCAGCGTTGAAGAACAGGGTTGACCCAAAAGAAAGGGAGGGTAAGGAGTGGTTGCGCTACGTAGAGAAATTTGGCTTGCGAACACGCAGAACAATGACCATGAAAATATACAGTCTGAGATCACTCCGCGACGCACAGACGGGCTCGTTCTACCACTCGCAATGACAGTCCGCTGGTCGCTGCTCTGATGACTGCGAGAGATTCATTGAGGTATTCTCCTGTAACCATGGTAGTCTGGAAAGGGTCCGTATAGGGGCGAAACATTGACACGGGCACACTGTATCGACACGGTGGAAGAGAAAAGGAGATTCGTCAAAAGCCGACACCGCCCTCGCTTCAGCATCCACCATGGACCTTGTGCCAGTACACTACCAACACAGACACTCTGTGCGTACAGTTGGCTCTACTCGTTGTGATCAGTCTCTACCTGATCACTTCTTCCCCGTTCCGCTCGTGGTCTCATCGCCAGTATCATTGACGAGTCCGTTTGGAAAAAAAAAAAGTCTGTCGGGACGTCCACACCTCTCCACCCTTTCGTGCATTCGCTTCCGAGTTGCCAGGCCATGGTTGTATCTTGTAGGTCCTGTGGATTTGCTTCATGCATTTACCCCAGTGATATCAATACGAGCGTCCATGAACCGTACATCCGCTGGATGACCCATTCCCGCTACTTAGTAAATCTCGCCCGTACTGCTGTATGTGCATAACCCAAGCTGAACTGTACTCCTTACAGTCCCAGCATAATTACCCTGTACGACCTTCCGTCCAAGGCAGCCTTCCTCATGAACTGTGATAATCTGGCGGACGAGGACGCGTATATTTTATAATCTCATCATAAACTGACCAGGCAATGCCGCAGGTATGCGTTAAAACTCAAAAATTTACCCTACCGCACTGAGCTCCCCGAAGGTCGGCGCTCCCCCCCCAGCACGTAATCCGATGTCTCCTTTCCCTTCTACAGCATCCCCATCATCCAAGACGACTCTACTGGTGCCGCCGTCGCAGTCTATCTTGACAAGACATACCCCTCCTCCTCCCATCCCACCGGGACGACAACCCTTTGAAGCTTTCTCCAGCCATTCTCAAAACCTTTGACAACCATCATTGTCGAGTCTATATAGTGCTTTTCTAGGTGAGTGGAGATTGATACCACGACGCACTGAGTTCATTTTCCGTAAATCAAGGGTATTATTATGGGCCATCTCACCAACAAACTCGCCAAAGTGAAAGAGGCGGGTCTGCAAGATTTTCGCCGGTCAAGAACAAAGCCAGTATGTCATGGAGAATCATACCAGCTCTTCAACGCCATCGGAGTCTGGAGGGAGGCACAATGGATATTAGCGTGTTATTGTTGATGGGGATGAAATTATTCATGGACGCCGGGAGCGAGCAAGGCCAAGACTATAAAGCTATATTATCCTCTCCTCCTTTTCCCTTCCTTCCACAACGCCAGACAATTCCTACCATCGTTGAGAACGACCTCAACAAGCCCTACAGCTTCCAATGGAAAACACCGCTCTTGGACCGTGGTCCTAATACCAAGCGATCAGATGATGATATCTTTTCAAGGTCGGCTCGACACAATCTTAATGGTGTCGAACCGACCTTGATAAGATATTTACCATGAAGAACTGAATAGAAATCATAGCTATGACGTCTGGCCCCTCAGACGGTGTTCGTTGCTCTGAGGCCTTCAATCGTCGTAGCGCTGCCTGCTGAGGACGGTCAGTAGGTACTATCTCTCCCAGACATGGGCATCAAGGGTCGGTGTGTTGTCTGGAGCCTACCTGGAACATATGGATCATCATTCAATGTTGAGAGCGTATGGCGGTGTGGATCGAAAGGATGGATAGGCGTCGCTCGGTATAACATCGACCTTGCTCATCCAGGCCATAACCTGTTCGGTGACCCTTAGATGATTGTCCTTGCTACCACTGAGTTCCCCAATTTCCGCACCAGTGAATGATGCACTTGCCAAAATCTCTCCTCCACAGGCAAACAGCATCGCACCGTGCTCTTTTAGCGGGGTCCTATCCCTCAAAGCTATAACGTTTCCGAAACCGAAGACGTCTATCAGCGATGTGGCGAGCAGTGGCGACTCTTCCATATAGACAATCGTGGCTCACCAGCGTGTGTGTCCAACCTCATACCTCAGATACCGGTACATCCCAGTTCTCCATGTTGCGAGGCGAGTTCATGTTGTAAGCTGGCAGGTTGATTTTCAATTCTTTGTGGCCATTCTAATTACAAATCATGAAGCCTGAAGACAACAGGCCATTGTTTTCTTTTTCAGATGCCTGGCCATGCTATTATTGAATAAATAGTTAAGCAATATAGATATGACATGCGCTGTTTGGCACAATTGTATACTACATCATTGATCTCGGTTCGATTCCGAGGGGCTCCATAACCTCTCAGATTTCAGGCATTTCCTTTTTCTGAACATTGAGGTATGTATAATGGAAATTGGAAGTTAGAACTTTGAAGCAATATTTAATAAAGGAGACCTAAGTTTTCAATGCTTCACTCACTTCAGCTTCGGGCACGTGGAGCGCAGACTTCTACGTTACTCTGTCTTGTCACCTCTTTTCTCGATGTCATTCAACATGGACAACGAGTCGCCACAAAGTGCTACGTCCGTATCGATGCCATGGCCATTGTCTGAAGAAATCTCTGCCCGGGTGATGCCATCCTGTTGCTGGCAGCTAGCGGATGAGGTACGCACACGTTTTGTCACCGATCATCTCGAGCCGATGAATCGATATTGCAGATACTGGTCTGAACCTCGAAATTCTACCATACCAAAGTGTCTACATCCGACGTCAAGGCTCTCACCAAACGGGTTGGCACGGCTGCTTGACAACGATGGCTCTCCTTATCCTTCAGCCAAGACAACTCTACCTGTCCCAATAAAACGTAGCGCCGACCCTCTTTTGGGTCTGTGCTCATCCCACAGAGATGACGAGCGTCCAACCTGACCTCTCAATGCAGTAATTGAAGCCTTGATGTCCTCCAGCCGTTCTCGTAGCTGTCAAGATGAATGACGCGATGGTCTTGTAGGACAAGGGATGGAGGTTCCAGGAGGTGAATAATTTGAAGGAAGCAGGAACGAGTGAGTCACCTTTTTGTCCTCATAGGCCACGAATCTCCTAGCAAATGCAGGTACAAAATAATCGCAAGCAGAACCTTCGCAACAGCCCATCACCTTCTCGCCATTATTGACGACTACCATGCTGAAGAACAGGAGATTTCTGAAGGGAATGGTCCTGCCGGCTTAGAAACGACAAGGAACGCATCGACGTTGCCTCTTGTTGTCGAGAAAGGACAGTCCGCCTACAGAGCCATTTTGTCAGTGGCTACAAGCATACTACTGGACTGTTTTGCCATGGCGGTGTCCCTATTATCAAAGGATGCCTCGGATCGTTTCGCCTGCTTCTTTCCAGTGGTTTTCATTTGCCTTCTCTGCGTTCATTCAAGTGACACCTCTTCGCGTACAACTTGCTGTCCACGTCACTGCGCACCGTCTTTGTCAGGATCGATGTACCACCTAGCACAAGGTCAGCATGTGCGCAAGTCGAGGAAATAAAGTCATTCTCTGTTATCCTAATGATCCTCGGCGACTTGGACAGATTGTATCCAGCCACGAGTCCAGGACCTAGCGGTTGTGGAGAAAGTCGCGTAGCTCGTTCGGCATAGATTCCTTAATAGTGATATGGGGAAAGTGCGCGTTCTGCCATTTTTTTTTCGTGATCCACCTCTGAATCAGCGTGGAAACAGAAACCATCTGTTCGCAATGTCGGGATTAACATCATCGGAGAGAAGTGTTGCTAATGCGAGTGGAGTGAAAAAAATAGGTGGGCGTGTGGGTCCGCTTAAGACGTTCTTGGAAGCAGCAGCTGAATGACGTCCGACGAACAGAGATGTCGAAGTGATTCTTCATTTTTTTTTGCTTAATGTGGTCTGACACAAAAGTTTTGGAGAATACGAGCTTAACGAGAAGGCTAGCGTACCCAGATTCAAGGGCTGCTTATCATCCGTTACCCATGGCCGTATCAGTCATTGTTGAATGTGATCTTGTGCATGAAGGAAAGCAGTTGTTTGGCGTTCTGTTTGCACTGACAAGGCTACCAATCGTATGGACCAGCACCCACAAGTTGGACATTCTGTTCGATGACTATCCTTTCCCGCTCGATGACATTGATCTTGAACAGCGCACGCGACATGCATACCGACTCGCATCGCGATGGCTCGTTGCTCTTCTCTATCACGAAAAAGGAGACGACATTCATCGGATCGCCCGTATCAGAGATCAAATTCGTCTCGGGACGCCAGCACAAGTGGCTTCTGACTGTTTCGAAGCTGATTGGGTCAGTTCTGACAGTCTGGGATATCACGGGCACGCAAATGTGCTCGGAATGGTCGCCAAAAGGGGCTACATTCACAGGAGTGAAGCTGAACGATGATCCAGACTCTGAAGCCAGTGTGGTAGTGTCATTGTGAGTGTCTATCGGTCTGCTAAACGACTGCTAATGTCTACAGATCACAGAAAACCGTCCTCCTGCACTTGGACGACACTGGAACGCAACAGGAAATCAGCTCTATCGATGTTGACCTCCGGCCCGTCAACCTTACGGGGGACGTGCCAGTTCTTGCAGATGACACGTCCTTCACGCCCATCCACAACTGGAAGACCGGCGAGCAAACGTACCTTGACACGCCGCTTGACCATTGCATATCCAAATCGTGCTCACCCCGCCCACTCCTCGTAGTGCGCGTCCGATCCATCACTTTCTACCCCTTCCCGTCTTCCACTCCTCTCTCCTCACACTCCTTTCACTGCGTCGACGGCGCCAGTGCAACCACTACCTCCATTCTCATCTGTTCTGGGAAAAGCTCTTCCGCTTCCAGAATCACTCATTTGCCATGAAGGACGTAAATAATTCGATCGATTTGAGGAGGGGATACTATGTTATAGACTCAGGATATAGCATTGACAACGCAACAGCGATGATGTGCAAATCAGCGAAACAATCGCGTACGGTAGACTGGCGACCGTGGCGCGTCTCTCCAGTGGACCTTTGATGGTCACTCTTTTTTGAAAAGGTCCAGACAGTAACGGGTCTACGTGTAGAGGGAGTAGGGCACAAATCCATGATGAGATCACAGCTTGCCTTGTTGTAACGAGTTTATCAGCAGTGGAGGCTGAATGCTGCCGTCGAGTTTGTCAATTCCCGTGCAAACAACATCAGGATCGTACGTTTCGGGGTTCGTTACTTGGTGAGCAATGCCGGCATCTATACCTGGGATTCCGTCCCTCGTTCCACTACCATCAGAGCACTTGAAGGAAATCTGTCATCTTGCCCGTCTGTATCAGAGGCTCTTTCGCGCAATCGCTTCCTTACTGCGTGTAGTGGACAATCTCGGTTCGATTCCGAGGAGGGTCATTACTTTGGACGTGTGGACTACATTATTTTGTTCTCGACCATGCCGCTTTATTTTCTTTGGATTATTTTGCTGGCGGGATGCGCTTGCGTTTATGCTTCCATCTAATCTGATCTCACCTTTTACTGGGGCTTTGATGAGTCGAGCATCTGGAGCAGATACAAGGTGCGTCACCTTTACCTCTGGGAGCCGCGATTATCATAGATAGCATATAGATACCATACACCACACTGGGCCGCACATCATCTAGAAGTGTTCATACATAAGCGCAATAGATTCTTCTCGCCTCATGCATATAGGAAGTTGCCATCGTAGTGATCATAAGCAAAATCGGGAACAGAAAGGTTATTGACTAGTATCGAGATGACTTTTATTTCGATGTAATGAGGGAGTTGCTGAAGGGGAATATGACCGATCCTTTCCGTACTGCGTACTGCGGACTAAACTCCTATGCAAAGTTGGGAGGCAAATTCGGTTCGTTCACAGGACAATGCAGACACCATGAACCCGAAGGTCATCGTTGACGATATTGCCCATCGCCATGCTTGGGCTTCGTTTGAAGACCAATCTTACGACTTATAGTGGAGCACACATGCAGGACTTGGATGTCGAAAAGAGGCCGAAAAGGTGTGTGACCATTTTGCTTTCTCGTGATGACCAATCTCATAGTCAAGAGTAGGTACGACGACATCTAAGAGCACACTTCTCGCTGGGTGTCTGCCGCCCTGCGTCAGTGGAGGATGAAGACCTATGAAAAACAAAGAAGACATCGGACGGAGACATGACCAGTCTTGCGTTTTCTATGACATCGTCTTGGTATCCATTTTGCGGCAGCGCATTGAATTCGACATAGACGTGGACACTGACTCTATTCGCCCCAAAGGGCTACATCCGTATCAAGAGGTCCTTATCCCAAGAAAGCTCCACCCGGTAAATACCATCCTGTGTATTACACGCTAATAGCGCGTCTACCCAGCAGACGAGGTACGTGAGCATTTCATCAGTCCCATCTTGATGCTAATGAATCGATGTTGCAGATTTTGTCTGAACCTGGAAACCTTAACCACGCCAAAGTGCTCTCACCAGAATAATTGATCTGGATATGCGTAGGCCAGTTCCAGCGGGATTTGCGATATCCATGGGAGGACGTACAGACGCAGAATGGTCAGTCAATTTGATTTGTCGTCGCGATCACGTGAGCGGCGCGTATCCTTAGCGCGTCGATTCAACGATAATCTATCTGTCTCACGAGTCTATTTTCATGCGTCTATTCAAGATTTGTTCCCTATAAAACAAGAGAGTGCCAGCCATCACACATGCTTCTACTCAATAGCCTTCCAAATAGGCTTGACGTCCTTATCCCTACTCTCCAATATGGCTTTGCGAGGGTAATAGCCTTGATAGCATTTAGCAAGGTTCTTTTCACTGAAATTTCGATGACTGCGGGATTCTTGAGGAGCGGTAGAGATTTCTGTGATCATTCGTGCCCCTAGGTAATGGGACTTCGGCGAGGATAATGTCTCCTCATGAAACGGGATTGACTTCATCCTCGACTTCGCGGCAGATGTTTGCATTATGGTTCTGAGAAATTTCATACGGGCAAGGAGCCATGTCATCAGTAGGACCATACCATAGCAGCCATCCGCACATCCGCTCCACGGTCCAAATCCAACATCGTAAGTTTAGTTTTTGTTCCTATGGATTTTGTTTCATGTGTTTACCATAGTAACAGAGAAGAGTAATCAACCAACGCGTAATGCGTATTACGCCCTCCTGGTGCGGATGTGGACATCACATGATCAATACGACCCTCCACGAGGCATGCATCCCCATTAATTTCATGGAAATGACCAAGCGCGTAGCAGATGGATGATTCATGCTGCTCGCTTCTGAGTAAGCTTCGCCCGAACTACTGTATGTATATAACCTGCACTGAATGGCATTCAGTGCAGTCCAAGCATGATTACTCTGTTCGACCTTCCAACCAAGGACCGCAATTCCCCAAGGACTATGACTACCTGGCGGACCAAGTACGCGTGTAATTTACATTTGATGGCGCGTCATGAAACTAACTGGATGATGTTGTAGGTACGCCCTAAACGTCAAAAATCTGCCGTACCAGACTGTCCACGTCGAGCTCCCCGACGTCGAAGCTCTAGCCAAAAAGAATGGCGCTGCCCACACCAGGATGAAGTCAGATGGTGTATCTCCCTTCTAAGCATCCCAATCATCCAGGATGACTCTACCGGTGCTGTCGTCTCCGATTCTCCCGCCATAGCGGCTTATCCCGACAAGACCTACCCCTCCTCCGGAAGCGAAGGAGAACCTTGGGAAGATGAACACATGGTTCGAAGGAAGCGAGGGGGACTTTGATATGGGGAACGAACCGTGTTTCGCGGACGCGGCGATTTGTGCGTTTTTGTGGTTCACAAGGAGGATGGTTGGGGAGGACAGTGAGGAGTGGAAAGACGACGTTAGTTGGAATGATGGCAGGTGGGGAAGGTACTTAGAGAGCTTCAAGCCGTATGAGAAACTGTTGTAGAAAAGAGTGTCAAAAAACTACTGAGTTTCATTCCCAGATTCTTTCAAAGGTAGCCGTCGAGCGACATTTTCTTTATGAAGAAATTCCGCCGTTGTTGGGAAGCATCGCTTTCCGTTCACGTTTGGCGAGTCTCTGTTTTATTGCTGTGTTCAAGTTCTCTGTACTCTCCCTGCGTCATTTCTCTTGACCACCTCATGAACAACAAAATATATCGGAGCGGTGCATCTATCACGGCTTTTGGTGTAGCTGTTTCATTGGGTACTATATTGTAGCGAATGACCTCAGTTCGAATCTGTGAATGTCCATTCTTGAAGAATCTCTTCTTTGCTTTTTATGTAACATCATAGTCTGGAGGGGAGGAACAATGGGTATTAGCGTGTTATTGCTGATGGGGATGGAATTATTCATGGACGTCGGGAGGAAGGAAGGACAAGACTCTGATGCCATATTATCTTCTCCTCCTTTTCTCTTCCTTCCACAACGGCAGACAATTCCTACCATCGTTGAGAACGACCTCGACAACGTTTCCGAAACCCAAGACGTGGCGAACAGTGGCGACTCTTCTATATAGACGATCGTGGCTCACCAGCGTATATGTCCAACCTCATACCTCAGATACCGGTACATCCCAGTTCTCCGTGTTGCGAGGCGAGTTCATGTTGTAAACTGGCAGGTAGATTTTCAATTCTTTGTGGCCATTCTAATTACAAATCATGATCCCTGAAGACAGTGGGCCATTGTTTTCTTTTTCAGACGCTGGGCACCCAGTATCAAATGCTCATGTTAAGCGAGCTCTTATAGTTTGACGTCGATCTTTACTTGGTGCAAGTATGATAAGTTTTGCTTGCGCTTGATTTGTCCCCTTGACTGACTCGCCACTGGCGCGGATAGGACTGTCGTCCTGCTTAAAATTTCACCAACACATTGTCTTTACGGACTTCTCTTTTACTGGTACTCATACTCCTTTGGTAGTTAGTGTCCATGACGAACCTAGTGTCTAATTGTGTGGTGCAGCATCAACCTCGCTTTAGACGTCCACCGCAATGGACCAAGGTACGTGTTCAATTTGTTTTCTTTCTTCCGTTACGTATCTAAACGTATCCGCAGAAATATTTCGTTTACTTTGCGCATATCCGGTGCATTACCTTTAGCTCTATAGGATGAATCTCACGGACGACGCAGACACAACGAACTCATGATACTACCGAAAGACATTGCCACAATACCAACTGTTGTCACTCTCGGACATGGTAAAGATGAACGACGCGGCAGCGGTGTAATTTTTGAGGATGAAACTGACCGGGATTTCTGCGCTGAGTGGCGGGGAAAAGGTGAAAGGGAGAGCTTTGGGTATCTGGTTTGAAGGGAACAAATGTAACTTGATCGCTGTTCTACGTCGCAAACTTTCTGCACGCGGTAGAAGAATAGAAGAATTTTCGGTTTCTTCAGCTAGCACGTTTCCTCGTGTTGCTTTGATTAGGTTTTTTCGAAGTTCTTCATATACATGCTTGACAACGATATGATATGTCGCTTCACACGTAGGGTTTTGCTGCCGCATCGATTTTCATGTTATGGCTTGGACGTTTACGATAAGGCGACTATTTACCGATGAGCTGCAGAACCGACACTGATAACGAGGAGTTTCCCGCCGAGTCCAGTCCGGACGTCATATTCAAATTGCACCGGTCCCATCGACATCAGGGTGTCTGCTTCATATCTGAGGCTCGCTATTCAAAATGAATATCGAATTTGAATATTACATGGATCGTCTCTCAGATCTCAGGCTTCAATCTCAGGTCGCGTCGAGATGACTGAATATTTGCTTCGGGCTCAGCTGGTCTAACCATCCCTCCATGATCACCTTGGCCATAGCATATCCTATCGGCTTTGTGCATGCGGTCACCGGCGAAATATACTTCATTGCGTCTAGGACCAATCTTTACTGTGTGGAGGAAGCGATAGAACCTGATTCGCTTGATTGACGCCAATCAGGGATTATCGACCGCTTCGAAAGGAGGGGGATAACAAATTCTGCACTGATATTTGGGGGTCAGAAGTGCTTGACGATATTATCTCCAGTCTTGATACTTCATGGACCAATGCATATTTAAATGGTTACCAGACTCAGTCGATCACTTACGGTAGGGTCAGAGAAAATCAACATAATTCCATGTAAAATTAACGACTGATGTAGTATTTAGCGGCGGTGCATTGCCTGGGTGCAGGAGGGGAAATATTCGTTGATGTTGGGAGCTATTGCGAATATAAGCACAGAAATCATTCATGTTAACTTGCAAGCATTGTCTCACAGCACTGCTCAGGATACCGATAACTGAAAGTACTACTTAGAAGGAGGCTGGATGAGGAGAGCCACTAGAGACATACTATTTCCAACAAGTTCGCAGACAAGCCGGTGGTTTGCAGTTTCCTGGATGGAAGGAACTAAACTTGCAGTTAGCATCCTCGCATTCAGTCTAGGAAACATTTTAAAAGAGTGATGTCCGAGATGAACATTATTTGCCGTACAGTTTCTTCAGGCTAAGTTAATGACAGTTAGTAAAGATCGATAGTCGGTACATTGGAATAGCAAAGGCATACGAGGTTGACAGTATGGCCACATCGGAGGTAGACATTCCTGACTGTGCAAGAAGTGATGAGCACGGTGAATGCAGTAGGGAGTATTCGCTCACTGGTGCCGACGGCACATCGTAAACATGTGGGTCGAGTGAAGATAAGAATCCCACACGAGGCCGAGAGGTAGAAAAGAAAGAAGACAGAGGACGACATAGATTGTACCCTTTTTATAAACTGAGACCAACCATCTGCCAATTTATGGGCAGGGTTGGGACCACACACAAGGCAATGAGGTTCATTGGAATAAGCCATGTCGGCAGAAGAGCAGGGAGCGTGCTGAGTTCATCAGCGGAGGGCTGTTAAGCCGGAGTAGTACGTGGTACAGTGATGGGACAGCGTATTTCAACTGGATCGCTCAGCACAGATTGTCGTGCGTAACAACTTTAGGGAATTCGAATATTAGGACACGGTATTCCAACTAAAGTCTTTGCTTGAAGTTGAGCCGGTGTGGATTTTATAGCCCTGAACCTACGAAGCGAAGAATTCTGAGTTTGGTTGAAGAGCGGGCACGGAACCCGGACCGGAATGCCGGTGCGTGTCTTTGGCCGCTTGTCCACACGAAAAATCACCTTGAAAGGTTTCACAGGAGCAGTCAGAATAACATGCTAGTCGGAGGGACCTGCAGATATGTACGTTATTTACTTTTACTTTTCTCTGCCGCTTGTTGTATCTGGCATTGTTTCAGACAATAATATCTCTATCTAACATGCCAGCATCTATAATGACCGACTCGACTACGAAAAAGTCGTACAAGCATCTGACGGGCGCTCTACGACTCATAGTCCTCGATTTCCAGGCCGCAGCTGCTGCCTGACAATACCAACCCATTGCCTTATTTGGGCTTCGTTCGATGCCGTAGGATTACGGCGGGATGCAGGGCTAGGTCCGTAACCATTTTTACTCTTGCAAACTGCGAATCTCATAGTAAAACTGGCTTCTAGGCTGCGTCGGTCTCCAAGCGCTTAAGGACAACCGGCGGAGATGTGACCAGTCTCCAAGTTTCCATTTTTACAATGTACTACACGGTTTGGTCTTAGCCATTTCGCTACCCCGTATCATGCATGCTCTTTTCGACGCAAGGCAACCCCGTGCAGGTGGCTGGGGTCTCTGCCTGATCAATCATTGAACATTTATGGCAATCGGCAACAACACAGTTAGCCCCAAATTGTCAGCTAGATGAATAGGGATTTTCACTCTGCTGAATGCATTTGTGCATGAACGGCCTGAGAACCAAACAGTGTGGGACTCACTATTCAACACTAACCAAACTAAACCTCCCAATGGAGCTGCTGGGTTCGAACCTTGCTCTTGCAGACCCAGTGGCTTTGGTTCACCCGAAGACCAGAGCCAGACCGCTCAACTATCTGGTCCCTGATCACACGCCATTTGGCCCGACTTGGGCTTTTACAGGGCTTAAGGGCGGTACATCACTATTTTTAGTATTAACGCCAATCTTGTAAAGCTTTGATCGAAGATCTGACTGAAAATTGATCAGCAGCTACTGTTATGAGGGGCGGCTCCGAGTCGGCATGGTTTGGTTCGTAGGGCACTCATGTCAAGTGTGATCCTACATCATGAATGTCCGCCTTTCTGCTTATATTGTCGTTACCCACGATTTAGTATGCATGATCGTGCCACGTACATTTATATTCATTTTATATCCGGCAGATTCGGCGTTCATGGCCGTCATGTTCACAAGTGAGGTGGACGAAGTTATGCGGTATACAGATGAAGGACAAACCACCGAGCACTGCAAATGGACCTCGCACGACGGCAACACGTTGCATTGGAGCAGTCTGGTCGAGAACCTGCTTCGCGCGGGATTCATGCAAAAGCGTCGTATGATGCGGGTGAATCCATCGCATCACATGCACGGCCACAGACAAGTCGATATTTGAGCTAGGTACCTTGATCATATGCGCAATCCTGAGAGTCGGATCACATGGGCCGAACCGATGTCCTCACACTCCATGCTGGTGCTTTTTCGTCAACTCTGATTCTCGGCACCCGGAATCGCTTCACGTAGGTTAGTGAGCTACAGAAGAAGGAAAGAAAGTCTTCTCCAGAGAGCTCAGAGAAAGCCATATGCAAGTGCATTCAAGGCCAATTCAACTGGCTTCAAGTGAGCCGGTCCAACTTGACGGCTTTACCTGGACTCCGGAACGAAGGAAGGAAGTCGCTTTTATTAGCAGCACAACGTTGCCTGTTCCTTCACAGGTGATAGAGATCGTGGAAAACCTCTTAAACAGTCTCGATTAGTGCTCGATCAAATGGGAAATTCTCGCCGGATCTGGTAGGTAGACTAAAGAGTGAATTGAGGTGATGCCAACATCTCCATGTTATAAAAAGACCCAGTGGAGGGAATTCTCTGATCACCAATGTCTACAGATTCCAACCTTCCACTGTCCAAGCATTCCAAGAGTACAGCTGTAGTGGTATTCATGTCAGTGGTGCTGCAATCAGTTGGGGCAGGAACGACCCAATACACAGCGGTCTATGCTCTCCTCTTCTACATGCTCTTTATCCATCCATGCATCTCACCTTTCATGGTACTTCGTCGGCTCCAGACCATTATTGACGAGGCCACTGTGCTTTTCAATGAACACCACGAGCGGATTACGGAGGAGAAGACGCTGAGAGAGTAAGCATATCCTTTTCCCCTAGTTATATCCATCTTATTAAATCGTTGGTAGGTTGCGGTCCAAAACCTACACACTCACCGCAGGTCATCTTGATGCCTATCGACAGGTCTCGATTACCGATGTTCATTCTTGGCTGATGTATGCACTTAAAGTGAAGGATATCTGGAAGAAGGTTCGTGAATACCGCAAAGGAATCACTGACTTGAAGACAAAGATAGAGGTGCGCTATGAGACATGTAAACTATACTTACATCTCATGGTTGGCAGATAAAATTACTCGAAGATGCGGAAGTCAAGGAGAAGGCTGCGCTTGAACACCTAGCACATGCTGATGGTACGGTTTGATGATAGGCAAGTGAATATTTGGTGAGCTTGACAAACACTCACGAGTCACAATGCTCCAGGTCACAAAAGTCTTTCCACACCAGCGACTTCCTCACATAGTACATAGGTTGCTTTACCGATTTCGTTTTGTGTACCCTTGCTTTCCCCTCTGCATTTGTATCTTGTCTTCTCTGTTATCGAATAATTGCTATAGATGTACATCAGTTTAAATAGAATCCCCAAATCTTGCGGCAGAATGCATACCTCTAATAGATATGTTCGAATAGCAATGAACAGCCTTGGCGAGTATGTACTTTGAACGAAACGAGGATGACTTTGTCACGGCTGATGGGGTGTCGTTATTCTACACGGTCTTTTTTTCCACAGCTTGGTGATGAAGGCATCCCGTGCTGGTGGCTAGGGTCTCTGCGTGACCGCGCATTCTTGAAAGCACCAAGCCGAGCCTTGAGCACCCCAAAGCCGTCGTTTGGGCCTGGCCCGGCTTGGGCTTTTACAGGGCTTAAGGGCGGCACATCACTATTTTTAGTATTAACGCCAATCTTGTAAAGCTTTGATCGAAGATCAGACTGAAAGTTGATCAGCAGCTACTGTTATGAGGGGCGGCTCCGAGTCGGCATAGTTTGGCTCGTAGGGCACTCGTATAACACGATTCGACTTTTAGATATAAATCCTTCTGCATATCGCCGTGGAGATTTGTTAAACGCCAAACAGATGGACGAGAAATCGACGCCTTAGCAGAAGGTGCACAGATGCGAGGCGTTATACATCTGGGTTGAGATCGAGGCGACTTTCATGAGCCATACCATAGTGCTCGGCTCGGTAACAGTAGCAATGAGACGTGTTAGGGGAACCGGGTGCAGATGAATTCCTTGGCAATTTCAAAATGCGAGTGCTGATATGGAAACTCGGGAGAAGTATAACGATGACGCATCGCCATCCGGTTTCTCCATCTGTCGGCAAACGACACGTTGCGACATATTGAAAGTACTGAACGAACTGCGAAAAAGGCAAGCTATTCCGAACACTCCACTCTTGCGCATGGCCTTGTATACAGAAAGCGACAGACTAGGGCTATGGTATCGACCATCGCATCTCCTGCGATAGACGTGACTGTCACATAATAGAAGAGTAAAAGTGGTAGGGAGTGGCAAGGAAATATTCAGGAAACCCTTGTCCATCTCATCGTGGGATCGCTTCTTCTACGTAATTCCGTACCTGCCGGTGAAAGGCGAATAAAGGACAGGCCCTGGCATCGCTGGGCTTTGAAAGGTGTTGTGGGATATAACAGACTGCCCTTCCCGACAACAAGAAGTGACATCGAAGTTCCATGTTTGTTCTGAGGAAAAGGTCTAATCCTTTCAGAAATTCACTGTTCTTCGGACTGGAAGAGGTCGGTATAGCGAGAAGGGAGATGAACTGTTGAGAAGGATAATATCGCGTACCCTTTTCGCAAGCTAATTTTTACCTGTATTAACCATAAGATTTGTCGCCTGCAAGGATGACGTCATGACATACAAATTGCGTTTCGTCTTTCCGCAACTTGTAACTCTCCGTAACCCCCGTAGCCGGCTCCGCCGTCAAAATTACACCGCCAGCACATCGTTTATCTTGGCTGTGAAAAACAGCCAGAGGGGAGTAAAACTTTCGTGCACGAGCCCAAAGGAAGGGTACATTTCATCGAGATAGGCCAGAAGGTGACGGTACTGGCGAAGGGGGCTTCGGATGGGGATGGCAAATCTGGGGGATACTCCGTCTCGCCTTGACAGTGATGTCGACGTCAGGCATCTGGACGTAGGCAGTCCGCGATGTCAGGTTCAGATGTAGTCTGCAACATCGAGCGAGATACGCTTGTCTGCCCCGTTCCTGGGAAGTTAGCTACCTTGAATGGGATGTACACACTCAGAGTATCCATGCTTCGCTGCAACCAGAGAAACTACCAAAGACACAGAATGACATCGCTCAGTAAGAGCCTGCCCGGTGATCTTTGTAATAACCTCGATGTCGCGGCGACTGTTACATCCAATCATGAGGAACGGGAGTTGATGAGGTTGCTGGCGTTGTAGGTTATAAACGCTTCACCGCAAGCCTAACGTGCCAAGGGTTGATATAACTGGGGGGGGCGCGCAATCCTTTTCCTTGGCGATTCCCTATCCATCTCCTCTGACCGGTGGCATCGAGGCAGAAGAGGATCGCCTGATGAGAAGTGTACTTTTGGAATCATACTACATTCTAGAAGCCAGCTTTGAGAGCGTGATTCATGGTCTAAAACATGTTTACGCACATAGCCTTTTCTTTCCAACATGAAGTCCTGCATGCATGCACCATTAAGAGCACATAAGATAGTTGAACCATCCCCGAAGGTTCTCTTTTGACCTTTACCCACACCTTCTCGGCTCCTCGCTCTCGCACAGCCGGCCTCTTCATACAAGCCGTCGTTGTATCTTTCATGTTGATTACACTGAAGAATGACTGAAGGATCCAATTACTGCTTCAACGGGGAGCCGACAGGCTAGGCTTGATATCACGCAGTATGCCATTCTCCGACAGCTCTCTGTATAACAGTCAGATTCCGTAAGGACGAGAAGGATAACTCTTACCGAAACCGAAATAGGCATCCATCTCCACAGTGCTCGAAACTACCGAGCATACGTTGACTCCTGTCAACTTTTTCATGGCGCCATTGTAATGCATATCGGTTCTAGCATAACGGTACTTTGAAGTCGATGTTCATAACAAAGAACGCGCCCCAGGGATGCAGACTCGGAACGAGGCAGGGACCAAGAAGACTCCGATGAGCCTGCATCTGTCATTTCAAATGATACGCCGTAGCCCACGAATTTACCTGTCACTGTAGCGATCGAAGATTGGTTGAGGACACAAAAAGGCCAGGTGCATGTTGTTATCTGGACTACGCAAATTCAAGGTGGCCTATTGGTGACAGAAGATGGTGGTGGTGACAGAAGGAAACAAGGAACGTTGATTCAAGCAGCAGCTCTACGTGGCTGGCACGTGGCTCGGTTGGCATGTAATCATGGATCCAATGGGTCCCCCCTTCCCTTCCACTTTATTAATCGCCGACAAATGTGTAGGCCTTCTTTCTGTGGCTTTCTCCCCCTCTTATCTTCCTTTTTTTCTGCCTGAAACGATAGTGTCTTCCTCACTGGTATCTCCAAAATATCGGACATTCTCTTTGAACGTCAGTGAATGGCACTGAATGCCAGGCCTGCGAGATATCCTCGACGAGCGATAACAAGCGCAATATATTGGGATGTGATTTCAGCCCTCGATTGATCTGAAGGATGTGGTGTGTTTACCAGGATCGCGGTATGGGACTGTAATGACTGGTCATCGAGTCGTCTGGCTTCACTCAGTCCTCAGAATCAGACTAGATCTGTTTTAGTGCCGCCTGGCCACCGGACGCTGGATACGCTTTTCATACTCCAATTCGACATTTTACAGAGGCCAGACCATGCTCGACGATTTGTCAGAAAGGACACCTCTCATCCCGTGGTCGAAACTGAGATATGTCCAATAGCATTGCAGCTATGAACAACACCAAGATGAACTCAGATGGATGAACATGGACCAACATGTAGGGAGGTATGTGATATTTGATACATGGAAGTTATTGGAGCCTAACGAGTTGTCATAATAGCCACTATCTGTGATGTCTAACGACGACGGTGTGATCCATCGAGGCACACTCCCGCCAGTTACTCTTCTTCTTAATTGAGTGCTTTCGAGTACGGTCCGATATTCGCTTTCTGGTGCCTGCCATGTACGAGTATCTATGCCCCAACAAGGCCTATGCGCAGGCATTACCTCCTTCCGATGTCGATACACTGATCATCTCTTGTTTGACACCACCACTCCAACTTCTTATTCTGCATGCGGGGATAAGGAAAGAGACGAGGAGAGTACGGCGTGTTGCGAGGCGCTGCGTCATCTCTTACGATGGCCTACCCCTCCCATTCCGGCCTGAGTTCAGCTTCATAACACAGTACACTCTCAATGCAAATATCTCGAATTCTGTTACCTCCAGCAATTTCACCCCCTAGAATTTGCGTCGCAACACGAGAAGGTCAGGGAACGGAGATGGAGTATAAGGAAGAGTTCCTGATAGACGCTTGCGTTTGGCACCCTTCTGATGTCAGTTCAGTGCTCGGACCCATGCCTGATTGGTTTTCTTGGTTCGCACGAGGCGCCATATCTATCTTTGCCATGCCTTGGACCTGGGTGGGTTCTCAACGGCTCATTGATAGAGATGGATGCCTTCTGATGCTGCCATCAAACAAACCACACAGACCTATGTTTGGTTATCATCATTTCTTAGGTTGTGAGCGCTTGAGCTTTCAAATGCACATAGGTTAGCGTCCAACGTGTCAACCATCCGGATTGTGTTACTGCCGAGAAACGCGAGCAAGGTGCGATTCCTTTGCCTGCTCTTAAGGGCCGGTATCTTATCGAGAAGAGGGGTGAGGGAGAACGACAAGTTGTACCTCTTTTTGATGTGGAAAGGATGGAGACACGGATGATGGTTTGTTTAGCTTTGGATATTCGCCAAGGCTGTTCATTGCTATTCGAACATATCTATTCGAGGTGTGCGTTCTGCCGCAAGGTTTGGGGATTATAGAAACTGATGTACATCTATAGCAATTATTCGATAACAGAGAAGACAAGATACCAATGCAGAGGGGAAAGCAAGGGTACACAAAACGAAATCGGTAAAGCAACCTATGTACTATGTGAGGAAGTCGCTGGTGTGGAAAGACTTTTTGTGACCTGGAGCATTGTGACTCGTGAGTGTTTATCAAGCTCACCAAATATTCACTTGCCTATCATCAAACCGTACCATCAGCATGTACTAGGTGTTCAAGCGCAACCTTCTCCTTGACTTCTGCATCTTCAAGCAATTTTATCTGCCAACCATGAGATGTAAGTACAGTTTACATGTCTTATAGCGCACCTCTATCTTTGTCTTCAAGTCAGTGATTCCTTTGCGGTATTCACGAGCCTTCTTCCAGATATCCTTCACTTTAAGTGCATACATCACCCAAGAATGAACATCGGTAATCGAGACCTGTCGATAGGCATCAAGATGACGTGCGGTGAGTGTGTAGGTTTTGGACCGCAACCTACCAACGATTTAATAAGATGGATATAACTAGGGGAAAAGGATATGCTTACTCTCTCAGCGTCTTCTCCTCCGCAATCAGCGCGTGGTGTTCATTGAAAAGCACAGTGGCCTCGTCAATAATGGTCTGGAGCCGACGAAGTACCATGAAAGGTGAGACGCATGGATGGATAAAGAGCATGTAGAAGAGGAGAGCATAGACCGCTGTGTATTGGGTCGTTCCCGCCCCAACTGATTGCAGCACCACTGACATGAATACCACTACAGCTGTACTCTTGGAATGCTTGGACAGTGGAAGGTTGGAATCTGTAGACATTGGTGATCAGAGAATTCCTTCCACTGGGTCCTTTTATAGCATGGAGATGTTGACGCTGCCTCAGTTATCTTTAGAAAGGACGCGAGAGTTTCTTCTTCCGGTAGAAAGACGTTTTCGTGAACCCTAAGCCCAGTGGCTGTGTTGCTAATAAAAGTGACGTCCTTCCTTGGTTCCGGAGTCCAGGTAAAGCCATCAAGTTGGACCGGCTCACTTGAAGCCAGTCGAATTGGCCTTGAATGTACTTACATATGGCTTTCTCTGAGCTCTCTGGAGAAGACTTTCTTTCCTTCTTCTATAGCTCACTAACCTACGTGAAGCGATTCCGGGTGCCGAGGATCAGAGTTGACAAAAAAGGACCAGAAGACCTCTCTACGAAGTTGCCGGATCGAGTCCGATATCACCAAAGCCTTATATGTCGAAGCCGCATGGATGGACCCAGAGCGTGGAGTGTGGGGTCGTCGGTTCGGCCCATATGATCTGACTCTCAGTATATGATCAAGGTACTGAACCCAAATATCGACTTGTCAATCATGAGTATATTTACATTCTGTCCATCAAATGTTGAAACGCTGGCAGCGATGATAGCCATTGGCAGTGTTGGATTAGCAAGCAGGAGCTCCGTCGTATCCCGCCGGCCAAGCTCGATACCCCTTTATGTCGGGATGGACTATATATATTGAATACGGTC